CGCTTCCTTCAGGTGAGACTTGAGTCAAATTTAACCATTTCTAAGAAAACGTAGTACATGTCATGTAACGCTGTGTATGCCTGTACAGGTCCAGCCAGTGTCTCGAAGGAAACTGCAGCTAGTGGGGGTCACGGCTATGCTGGTTGCCTCCAAATACGAAGAAATGTATGTGCCAGAAGTCGGTGACTTTGCCTACATCACAGACAACGCCTTCACCAAACCCCAGATACGTGAAATGGAGATGCTCATCCTCAGAGAGCTGAACTTTGAACTTGGACGGCCTTTGCCCCTTCACTTCCTCAGGAGGGCTTCCAAAGCTGGAAATGTAAGATTTCCTTGTCAGATGTACTAACTTGACTTCAATGAGCAGTATAGACTTTAAACTGCGATTCAGCTGGTCAGAGTGCACTCAGTAACTAATTAGCACAAGGAATTATGCATAGTTGTGCTACAGGATTCTGGTATTGGTGTAAAGGCAGCATTCAAATATCATGTGCACTTTCCAGGGCTAATGTTATTTCTTGTTCAGCCAATTCTGTTGCAAACTGCCAACTTATTGTACCTTGGAGCAAATTGATTCCAGTTGTGCACTGTACTTGTACATGGAGCTCACTTATTGGGACTGTACTTCCCTGATTAGTTTGACTTGGTATTTAGTGTTCTCCCTATAGTGGACCAGAAAGTTTAAGCTGGGGTGTCCAGTCTTATCCCCAAAGGGCCAGTCTGGCTGCAGTTTTTTTACTTCAGACAAGCTGGAGCACACCTGATGCCACTTGTTTAATCAGCTGGCTTCAGTCTGTCAAACTGCTGATCAGGTGACCTTCTGCTTTGGAATGAACGTGCAACCACACAGTTATAGTATATTTCATCCTTAATTTTGCTCAGTTTCTGTTGAGATACTAGGAATGGGCTGTCACATTAGAAGCGAGTTTTAAGCAGATCACCTGCTTTTAAGAGGTTAAAGAGGAATTGGGGAGGATGTCTAATTCAGTGGTTGCTGTAAACCACATCAGTGGTTTGAAGTGGTTCACTGTAGATGAACTTTCCTTGGCTTTCTTTAGTGGTGGTGATGGGAACCAAGGGTTGTGAGATCAAGTGTAGCCACTCTATTTACTGTCAGACAACTAGAACTTGCACATGTCCTGAGTTTGTATATGTAATGTTAGTGGTAAGTATGAACACCTTGTATTTACTTCTCTGCTATGGATAGCTTTTTAAAAAAAAACTCAGCTGTTGTCATTCATTCGGCAGAGTACTTGCAGCCTTTTGATAACTTTTTGTAAAGGAGTTTCTGGAGGATTTAAATGCTTTGGATGTGGTTCTGATCACCATTAAACACTTCTGACTTTCATGGATCAATGCCTTTCACATCAAGCCACTAAATGAATTGAATCATGATTGCTTAGGATTTAATTGGTGCAATGCCATTTGACTTATCAAAAGGAAATGGCTATAATTAAACTTTGCTTTCTGTTTCAAGGCTGATGCTGAGAAGCACACACTTGCAAAATATTTTCTTGAACTGACCCTCCTGGACTATGACATGGTCCACTACCATCCATCAGAGACTGGGGCAGCTGCCCTTTGCCTCTCTCAGCTTGTACTCGATGGCCAGAAATGGGTAAGTGTTTCAAACCCTGAGATGAGTTTCTTCCTTTCATTAAGGCTCAATTGCTTATTACACTGTCTTCTAGTCTCCAACACAGGAACACTACACCACATACAGCGAGGCCCACCTGAAGCCCATAATGCAACACATGGCCAAAAATGTGGTCAAGGTTAACGAAGGGCTCACAAAATATGTGGTAGGTCTCTTAACCTGTTATTTCTTCACTGACTTGATGTGGCCTTTTCTGGACCCCTGCTGACCCTTTCTGTCTTACAGGCAGTGAAGAAAAAGTATTCCAGCAGCAGACTAATGAAGGTCAGCCTGCTTCCACAGCTGAAGTCCACCTTGCTGAAGGACCTTGCTGCTCCTCTGCTGCCTACCTCATGAACCTTCTCATGAATGGATGATTTCTACTGATCTGCACTTTATTCCCAATCAGCCATCAGAGATGGATGGACTGCTGCTTTGTGATATTGTTTGTATATATGCAAATAAACAGGTTTTACATTTTAACCATTTTATGAACTTTTACAACTTTCTATTCAGGGTTTCAGGTTTTACTGTCATGCTTGCTGACTACATTTGTCCTCGTGTGGGGAAAATTGGGCTCCATCAGTGTTTGAAGTGCAACATTTCAATAAAAGTCCAAAGATGTTTTAATGGCATCAGCTTTTGGTCAGTGGCTTCATAACTCCTGCAAGCTTTTTAAAAGCAACTGAAGGTAGTGTGGTAATATAGCAGCAAATGGGGTTTTTTAACCCCATTGAAAATGACAGCACTTGAATATGAAAATTGGTATTTGGTCTCCCACCTTGATTTCTGTATCATTCAATGATTGAGATGTAAAATCATTCAGAATGGTTTGATGTAAAACATGCTGAAAGACCTGTTTAGTGGTGGCAAGGGGGCTTAATTTCTCTAGAAGGGAGCATTTCACATTAACCTACTTTCACTTTATACATTTAAGAACTGAATTTATGCATAAAATTAAACTTCTGCTTTTAAGGGTTTTGTAGGTTCTGGTTTTAATTTTTTTTTCCCCTTTTCCCCCCTCCCCTCCTCCCCTCTACAGTGGATAACTGAGGCCTGAGTCCAGTTTTCTTGATTTCACTCCTTACAGAACTTGGTCTAGCAGTCATTTCTGTGTGAGTCATGATTGTCCAATCAAGGGCTGGTGTGGGTTTCACTGGTTTGCTGTGGCACTTCTGTTTTCTAAAACAACTGATCAGTATTGTGCTTGAATAGAAACCTGCAGGCATGCTGGCCTTTTCAGACAAGACTGGAAACCCCACAATTTTACCAGTGCAACCCTTTAGTAAGTACCCAGTTACCATAATACCTTCAGCCACACATCAGGCTGAGGGAGGGTCTCATTATGTAAACAGAAAAGACAGACCACTACAAACCCATGGAAACATGCTAAATGTCAAAGCTGTCATTCTTCTTGACTTATTTTTCTGAAACAAAATTGATCTTTGATGTAGCATGTAAATATTGTTAAAGCATTAAAACAGTATTCACTCTTCAGTCTAAACAGTCCATATGTGGAGGCTAAGCTGGACAAACAGCCCATTTTCAGTTCATTGTTCTTGTGACATCATGAAAACCAACACAATCACCTATTCAGCTTAATAGCAGTTTAGCCCCGCCCATCCACACTAAAGTTATAGGGGGTGTTTCAGTCTGGACTGCTCTCTGAACAGCTAATCAAAACAGTTCATTTGCATATATCAGACCTAAAGGCCTTGTAACAGAAATGGCCTGTCTAATTCTAAGGGAGAGGAAGAGGGGGTAGAAATCAGTGATGTAAAATTGTATTATGACTGTTTTTGATACCATAGAATACCAGAAATATGATGTGAAAAATGTGGGATATGGGCTCTTTAATGTAAGCTAAAGCTCAGCTAAGCCTATCTGTCCCACTCACATTCACATGGTGGTGGTGTGAAGCAGGTGTGAAGGAGGGAATGAAGGTTTTCATTGTTTGTCAAAACATTTTCAACACCTGCACCTCTAAGGGGTTAACCCTTTAACCCCTTAAGTGGTCACGGCCACCGGCGGGCCCAAAGTTTACCTACACACTTCTATAACCGAAGAACACACTCTTTAACAAAGCTGGTTCTTCAAGGGTCCTTTAGTAAAGAAAATGGTTCTGTATAGCATCTTGAACTCTCCAAGAAGCTTTTGCATGGTTAAAGGGTTCTTTGCAGTGTGAAAGTGTTCTTCAGACTGATGGAGAGTGTGCTGTAGATGGCTCTATATAGAACCTTTTTGAAAAGGGTTCTCTTATTGTTACAAGCTTGATATCGTAACAATAGAAGAACCCTTTTTGGTGCTGTATAGAACCATATACAACACATTCTTCGCCAATCTGAAAAGCTGTTTCATGATGCAAAGAACCCGTTAATCATGCAAAGGTTTTTTGAGAGTTCATGGTTCTACATGGAACCATTTTCTATACTAAACAACCATCTTTTTTAGAGTGAAGCTCAGTCAGTTTGCATTAATAAGCTAAAAATAAGCTTTATACTAACAATGTTTGCTATCCGGTGTCGACCAGAGGAGGATGGGTTCCCCTTTTGAATCTTGGTTCCTCTCAAGGTTTGTTCCTCCTCCTTTTAGGGAGTTTTTCCTTGCCACTGGTGACACTCATGGGGGTTTGGACAAGGATTTTTCTGTAAAGCTGCTTTGTGACAACACCTGTTATAAAAAGCGCTATATAAATAAACTTTGCTTGCTTGCTTGCTTGCATTAAAGTCCCTGTAGTTGCTGAATAATGAGCCTTAGTATTTAATAAGCCTGGGATTTTAAGGGGTTAACGTCCATATCAGACATTTTAAATGTCATTTGGTCCTTAAGTTCTCTGACCTTGAGCACAAATCTGAATATATTTTTATACTGATCAAACCACATGGCTAAAAAGTGAGTTTTTATCACATAATTGATCATACTGATCACAGTGTTTTGGTCACATGGGGATGTTTTTAAACAAAACAGTCAAACGGGTCGTATTAGATATCCACACAAAATTTCATCATTATAGGCCAATCAGAGGAAGTGCTGCTCTGGGATATTCTACTTGATTTAACTGTTGGACATAAATGGGTTAATGTTATGTTAAGCTGAGAGAAAGAGACATTAAAAACACAACAGACTCGGATCCATGAAATGCTGTTAATTCATTGGAATGAAACAATGAGCACCTGTTACCAAGTGGACAGCGTTAAATGTATTTGGTCATCAAAGTTCTGTCAATAGTGATGGGAGTGAACTGCTTATAAATGCTTACAAATACAGTCTTATGTGTATAAGAGGAACTTGTGTTTTGGTCCAGTTAGCATTGTTACAACCCCTCAACCAACCGCTGTTGCGCATTATTAATATGACAGCCAACATAAGCAAGAAGAGCACAACACAATGTGTCCATCCTATTATTAACAAAGTAGTACAAAATATTCTAGATACACAGATGCAAAATGCCTGCATAATCATGTAAACAAATTGTTTTTCCAAAACAATCGGTTCCCTTCAGCAACTAGCGCATCTTTGGCAAACCTTCATATGTACATCCTGGTGCGTCTGGCCGTGGCAGGACAGGTCGGTACAAATTCATACTGGTAAAGTGCTTTTTTAACCACAGCGTCATGTACAGTTATGCAGTAACGGATGTGCTCCTCGTGGCCTGGGGCTTCGTTTACTTCTAAAGAGTGAAGCTGCAAAAACTGCAGTTTTTTTTTAAAACAGGTATTAGCAGCACAAAATTCCCTACTAAACCCATAGATTTGAACATTAAGCTACAGGAGATTATAAACCACAAGACAGCAGGTGAATCTACAGGAAAGCACCTTCATTTCCTTTAAAAAAAAAAATCCTTTCATTTCAAAAGCTAAAGAGATTTCAGGTCCCACATACAATGAATGCACTGCGTATTCTTCATATGAGATAAGGTCGTTTTAAATATCACTGAAGGCTGAACCAAAAAAATAGAAGAAGTAAAATGAAGCTATAAATACAATAAATAGTTTTGATCAGTGCTCACAGGGACTGTGTAACATTTAGCCCTGGAGAGAAGTCTGGAGGCCGGCGCGCTGTGCGGGACTCCGCTGCAAAACTGGCCCACGGCAACAGAACGCGGCTGCGCTGAGGCCTCCACGCGGCTGTCTTCTCACTCTTTCTCTCGCTCCTGCGGTTCCGCTACACTGGGAGTCCTCTGAGGTACGCGTGACGCTCTGGCCGGCCCCTCAGCTGCAGTAGATGGACTTAGATCTTGGTGACGTAGTTGTTGGGGAAAAGGCCCTGTTTACCCCTCAGTCTCCCCGTCCACCAGCCTGAGGCGTCTGCGCAGCGAAGACGAATGGTAAAAAACGTGAGGTCTTTTAGTTAAAAGGGAGAGCAGAGCACAACTAACCCTGGGTAAAATGTAACATGGATGTTTTATGAGGTTAAACATGCCTTTGGTCATCATTCACACAACAACCTCATCTGCAAATTTATAGACAGATATTTCTCAAGACTCTAAGTTTGTCAGTGAAAAGTTACTGTATACATTTAAGGAGATACATTTTTCGTTAATCAAGGCAGAAACAATGTAAATCGCTGATGTCAGAACAAAACCTTGTATCTCCATCTCGTTTTTCAGATTTTAACATAATTTGAAAATGACTGTTGCTCTTTACATTGTTTGTAAATTTTATGATAAATGGACCAAAGGAAGTGACCCAAAATTACTTGGAAAAGAAGTCTGGTTCCATTGACTTACATTAAAAGTGGAGTAAGTTTTTTCCTTCTCCTGTAAAGTTACCATTTTGGAGATACAAGATTTTGTTCTGACAACAGCGAAATGTACCCTTAAAGGTACAGCAGTGGTTTTGAGGTTCAACTGTGTACCTTAAATGAGTTTTTCTCAGGGAAAAGTATGTATTCATATCTTTTTATAATCAAATGTTTCAAAACAAAACGGTAATATATAAAGGCTGGAGTCAAGAAAGGGTGTGACGAGTCAACATAATTAAAAAAAATATAAACGCAATGAAATATGGTAGTTATGTTCCCGAACTAAAGGTTACGAAGACCCTCCCTTGAGGGTACCACCCCGTGACAGCTTAGTACATTTTTATCTGAGAGCGTAACTGTTTTTCGGTTACTGAGTGTATAAGTCACATAATTCCCACCTGGATTATTTTAATCTCCCTCTTGGTGGCTGTAATATAATAGCATGTAAACAACTCACAGTGAAAGAAAGGCGGGCTGAAGTACAGCCTCAACACGAGAGGGATGGTTTTAACACAGTGTTAACACTAAGACCCCCAAATAAACAATGAGAGAAGTTCATATCACTCTATGTAAATGAAGTATATTTTTTATTTACAGATTTTGGACATAATGTGAATAAAATGTATTTTAGTTTTACATGCTGATATTTCTAGTTCTTCTTTAAACTGCCATGTTTGACAAAACCTCTTTTTTAATAATGACTTTTACATATTTCATGTATTTTGGTGGGATTTTCTAAGTGAACACATTCTCTACAGAGAACACACTTCTGCACATTTTAATACACAATTACTGTTTATTTACTGAATTTAACATACTGGAGAAAATAAATGGTCTGTGCAAAAGTTATGACATTTTATATTTTATCTTATTTTCACTCAGAAAATCAACTAAAGTCTGCAATTGATCCCCCAGATGGCACTGCATTAAAAACTGACAGGCTTCTGTAATGAACATGACCACATGGGCTCAAGAATATTTTGGAAAACCCTTGCCAGTAAACACAGATTGTCAGTCTGATGGGTCCACCTTTCAAATTATGTTTGGAAATAATGGACATTCTGTTTTCCAGGCCAAAGAGGAAAAGGAGCATCCAGATAGTTGCTAATGCTTTTGAAATGCCAGCGTCTGTCAGTGTACGGGGGTGTGTTAGTGTGTAATTTGCACATCTGTGAAGCCACTATTAATGCTGAGGGATACATAGGCGTTTTGGAGCAACATATGCTGCTGTTGGAACAAAACCTCACCTCCATTTTTTTTGTTGTTTTTTTTATTTTTTTAGTTTTTCAGTTTTTAACATATTTTGTAAAAGCCTGTTACTCTTTACATTGTTTGTAAACTTCACGATGAACGGACCAAAAGAAACAGCCAAAAATGACTTTGAAAAAAGTCTGTTTGTTACTTGTAAGTTATACTATAAGCTTGTTCTGACAACAGCAATATGTTGCCGTCTAGATGGCGTCTTTTTCAGAGACGTCCCTGCTTATTTAAGAAAAACAATTCCAGGCCTCATTCTGTATGTGTTACAAGAGTGTGCCTGCAGTCTAGATCTGCCTCCCACTGAAAACGTGGCACATTATGAAGACCTCATATATAAAACTGTATATAAAAAACAAAATAAAAAGTTTAGCTGAAACTTTAAACACCTTATAGTTGTACTGTTTTAAATCAAGTACAGGTCAAAAACTAACTGCCAATCATTGCTGTCTGTTTTTACTGACATTTTTCCTACTGTCCCAACTTTACTGGAACTGTGTTCGTACTACTACTCTGATCCCTGCGGTTTGCTCACCTTCATTGATGATTTCGATGATGTCATCTGCGTTGAAGCTGAGCTCGTCCGTGTCCTGGGCGTCGTAGGCATACAGAGCTTTACACTGAGGCACCTGTGGCTTGGGTTTGGGTGCTGGCTTTGGTCGGCCGCCTCCCGGAGGGGGCCTGTTGGTGGACTGCCTGTGGGCCCTAGAACAGAACAGAACAACGACAATGTAGCAACAGAGCGCGTGGGACTCCTCTGTGACGTTACAGAAGCTTGTGAGCATGCTTTAAAAGAGCTAAAGTGAAATTAACTTCAAGTGTGAAGTCAAAGAAATCCCTCCACCAAACATGCTGACACAGCTAATGCTGAAGGGAAGCTAGTAGCCGCCAATTAGCATAGCGTCACGGGCATAATGCTGCATGGTGGCTGTATGATTTAATTCAATGCTAGCAACATTAGCATTTTGGCTGAATTATTCCTTTAACTGTACTGTCAGCATTCATAAATCATAAAGCACTATATGGTTTGTTTGCTGTGACAGCTTTCATAATTGTGAATGCTTGGTGTTCAAACCAGTGACTTTTTTTTAACTGCCACAAGGTGGCGCCAAATGCAAACATTTCACAAATGTACTGCACTGAAGAGTGTATCAAATTGAGGAGACAACAGACTTGAAATTTTCACATTGATTTAGGAGATATATATATATATATATATATATATATATATATATATATCCTTATTCAAGTCCACCAAAACCAAAGACATCCAAAGAGCTTCACAGCCAAAATTTTAACAGAAAAGTAACAAGATTAAAACACCAAAACCTAAAAAACGTATGTCAGCGGTGAAACTGCTACTCCGATTCCACTCTCAGAAAACCCTGAAGAGTTCTTTTCTGAGTTTGCGCAGAACTGGATGAATACAGCCCATCTCATGTGACCTCGTGTAGCTGTTTGTTTGCTCTGTAGAGGACCCATGAGAGGTTGACTAAGACTACAGGAAAAGCCAGGATGAGAAGATGACCCAATTCCAACTCCCTTCACCTTAGCAAAGGCTCCACATGTTGATCTGAGGGACTATATTCAGACTCATACATTAGAAATTCTCATAAAAATACATGTTTAGTGATGCATTAATATGGCACTTCTTGAAAGATACTGTTAACTTATAAGTACCACCTTGTTGTGGCTGTTACTGATACAAATAACAGTAATATTCTTACTTTTTGCTTTTTAGAAAGTTCCCACTACAATCAATCTTTGAACTGCAGGATGAAACTGCTGAAGATGATAGAAGATGCTAGCCACTAATGCTAGCTTCCACATATCCTTTAGACTACATGTGTCAGACTCCAGTCCTTGCGGGCCAAAACACTGCAGACTTCAGCATGCTGCCTCGTTTAACACACCTGATTCAGCTCATCAGCTAATTCGCAAAGCCTTGATGAACTGAATTCAGAGCGTTAGATGAGAGTAAACGCTAATCTCCGCAGCACTTTGGCCTGGAAGGTCACCGGTTTGACATGCCTGCTTTAGGCTATAGAGATCATTGGCATGATCAGTGTTTAATAACTTAAATTTGTGGTACTCAAAGTTTTGGGCTGTTTTGTCTTCGCTGTACCGCAGCTGAACATTTGCTGCAAATTTCAATTCTGCTGAAACCTTGAAAACGTCCACATGGCTAACATTTTCACTCTGCAGCAGCAGAACATGATTACATACCATTGCTGTCAGGACCAAACTTTGTATCTCCATTTTTACCTTTTTACTGTTGTGCAAAATTTGAAAATACCATCTGCCCTTTATATTGTGTCAAAAGTTCATGATGAATGGACCAACAGAAACGGCCCAAAATGACTTGCAAACAAATCTAGTCCAATTAACTTCCATTCAAAGTTCAGAATGTTTCTCCTTCTTCTGTAAAGTTACCACTGAGATACGAAGTTTCGACCCGACAGCTGCACGATGCCTCAGTGCGTACGTGAGCAGAAACGACTAGTCATAGGTTGTAATTTTTATAATCATTACATTATTTCACAAATAACCGAGTAATGAATCAGCCAATGATAACATCCTGCACCCCTGATAATATCCCTTGGACTATTTGCTGAATGAGGTTCCTCTTTCTGCAAGTGGAGAACAGCCACAAAACCAGATTATGAGGAAGATCATCTGTCAACAACTTTTGTATTGTTAACAGCTCTTCGGTCGGGTAGTGAAACCCACAGATATGTAGTAAAGAGGCCATTTCCATGGTAATAAGGCTTAGGGCTGGTTTGGAATTGGACATCTCTGTCAAGCCTAGTACTACAGTAATCAGAAAGAAACCACAACCAGCAGCACCACTGATGCACCCACACACACCCACACACACACACACACACTCTCAGACTCACATTCCTCCGTTTGCAGACAGCCGCTGGTTTCTGTTTTGGTAAAGAAGTACATCAGCTGTGTTACACACCGTCTCTCTGTGTGTCACTGTGTGAATGTGTGTGGACATGTTTACAGAGAACACTTTAATCTTAAGTGGCTGTTTGGAGCTGCTCTGTATTTATAGAGTGCTGGGCGTAAACTTTTCCATTAAAACCTTCTCGTTACTGATGACTAGCTTGCAGTCCGTTTTGCTTGTGTTTGTGTGCGCAGAGGAAGAGGGATTGTGTTCGTGTGTGTGTGTGTGTGTGTGTGTGTGTGTGTGTGTGTGTGTGTGGGGAGAGAGTACTTTTCAGAGTACAGTCGTATGCAAAAGATTGAACAGCCTCAGTGCAATTACAGTTGCACAGTTGTGTTGATTTTCTAAGTTTATACATCTTCGACAAGAAACACACTTAAATACGGCATTTGACTTATTTTAGTGTACAATTTCTATTTATTTGTGAGTTTAACATACATACGTAAATATATCGCTGCTGTCGGAACAAAACCTCTTATCTCCAAAATGATAACATTACAGGAGAAGGAAAAAACACACTTTACTTTTAATGTAAGTCAATGGAACCAGAATTTTTTCCAAGTCATTTTGGTCCATTTTTCATGAAATTTACATACAATGTAAAGGGACAACAGGCATTTTCAAATTATGTCAAAAACTGGAAAACAACAAAATTGGAGATATGAGGTTTTCTTCCGACATGATCCCACATTCTAACATTGTATAACAAATCTATGAGTATGTGTGTGTGTATGTATGTGTGTGTGTGTGTGTGTGTATGTATGTATGTGTGTGTGTGTGTGTGTGTGTGTGTGTGTGTGTGTGTATGTGTGAGTGTGAGTGTATGTGTGTGTGTGTGTGTGTGTATGTATGTGTATGAGTGTGTGTGTGTATGTATGCGTGTGTGCGTGTGTGTGTGTGTGTGTGTGCGTGTGTGTGTCTGCGTGTGTGTGTGCGTGTGTGTGTGTGTGTGTGAGAGAGTGTGTGCGCTCACCCTGCAGCTCCCTGATCGGGCACTTTAAGGCAGTCCAGGTTGGGTTGCTGGGCTGCATGCCTGCTGCCTCTGTCTTTCAGCTGATTGACTGTGACAGGCAGGAAGGGGCGGGCCTGGTTGCCCGGTGCCGACCTCTGGTTACTCTGGTGCTGCGGGTTTCTTTGACTGGCAGCGTGATTGGCGTGTTTCGGCCCGCCATTCTGATGAGCAACTAAAAGAACATGCGCAATGAATCGTGTCTATTATGCCCACTGAAGAAGTGATGTTGACCATGTAACACAAGTGAGAATAGTGATCCTTGCTGGGGGAGAGTGTGCCTTACCTGGAGGTCCAGGCGCGACCCGTGTCGGGGTGTGGTGGTGCGGCCGGGACATGTTTGAGCGGCCTTGACCGATGCCTTTCTTAGTTGGACCTGCCGGAAATCACTCTCAGTTACACATGATGTGAGAACACCAGGGTGGACATAACCGTTATGGTTTTACAGGTTTCTTTTTCAAAGCAATAAAAAAAGCTAATTTACACGATAATAAACTTATTCCAAACACAGTCGATCAGCTATAACATGTTAGATATCAGAGGTTTTCCAATGGAGCTTTCCAATGGAGATCAATGTAGCTAACATATAAAGGCAGCGTATGACCACCATTCGCCGTGCAAACTGCCTCACAGCACACAGAGCTTAAACAGTGTCAGACAGACTTGGTTATGTGGTTTCTGACACTGTGTGACATCTTGTCTATAAAAATGGACAGACAAAATTCAAGCTTCAATGTCGGTTTCTACAGTTTTTAGCTATGTGATGTATTTTTTGTGTCGTACTGTGTCCATTAGAAATGACTGAACAAAGCAAAAGTCTGATGATTTAGGCATGCAATGCTAATGATGTCCATAATTAGGGGTGGGCAATATGACGATACTTTATCGTTATTACTAATTTTTGTCATTGTGATACACAATATGCATTTCTCATCGTCAATACATAAGGAACACTGAATAACTATGTGTTTCAATAAAAAGAGAGCTTAACTGTAGCCTGTTTAATCGGATTTAGTGTAACAGTATGTAAAATGTAAAATCATTTGACACTACTAGCACATTTTGCCTATGCGTGATAACATACTATGAAGTGTATCGTGAACATTTCTTTAAGTATCATGCCGCACTACTTTTTCCATGACGCTGACTCTGAGCCATGAGCTTCCACTACCTGCTATCTCCTTTAATCTCACAGCTGCAGTGCAAAAAACCTCAGATACCAACGTGTCTTAGCTGATCGGCTGCGTTTGGGAAAAACGTGAAATTACGTAGCCTGACTTATTGCCAAGTTGTCACTTTAACCCCGATTGACCTTTGGGATATGCATAAATCATGCTTTGGAGAGGCGTGCAGTGATACTTACGGGAGTTTTTGGGCAGGCCCGGTCCAATGCTAACCTGCAGCATCTTGTTGGACGGTCGCAGCACAGTGGCGTCTCCCTGACCCTGAATGAACTGCACCTGCCGCGAGCCTCCGGCACTCCACGGCCCCCAGCTCTCCTTCTTCAGCTTCATCTCCAACCTGAACATAACAGTCAAACCATTACATTACCCTGTGTTTTTTCATTACAAACTCTTACACTTCTTTACATTCTTCTCTTATAAATACATTTCTTCACGTTTTTCCTTTACACTCTTACAAACCCTTACTGATCTAACCAATCAGACTTCTGAAGAAGGGAACTAGCTGGAGCTGGTGTGGCAGACAGTGGTTGGAACTGGACTCCGCAGGAAGGTAGACCTCCAGGACCAGGGTTGGTGACGACTGTCTTACATTCTTCACTTACAATCTTACTTTTTTGTATTTGGCTTATTTTTACGCATTTATTTATTGTAATATCTTACACCTACAACTTTGTTTCAGTAGGCATAATTCTGGGCACCTGCTGCAAATAATTCCACTTTAATATTTCAATAATGATGTAATATTATGTTTTTTGTATTTGTATTTTTTGTATTGTCCATTGAATGTGGCCTGGCCAATCAGAACCGGGACCATTGGGTTGTGTTTTGGGCCAGATGTGACCATATGTCCCAACTGAATTCTGTTTTAATGCACAAAAAACCATTTAATCTTTGACGATTATGTTGCTTGGCAACCACGGCCTGTTTATTATAAACTACATTTAATGTTGTGCCTAACAAATACCCTTAACTGTGGTAAAATAACTAACACAAAGCCTCTCGTGGCTTACTGCTTTATTATAGTTGTCATTCAGACAAACTTTATGCACTTTACATTAAATAAACATGTATATGTTTTTACTCCTAAAGCCTGACTGCAACTTAACGAGGGAAGCTCTGAATCTCTTATTTAACAATAAATTTGAACTTGTACTTTTCATTTAAGACATCATAACTGAATGCATGCTTGCAGTATTCAAAATATCCAATAGCGCTACAAAATCTCTAGAATTGTCTCTAAAATTGTTGGTCTACTATTCAGCACTACTATATAGCACATGATATGATGCTACTTTATTTGGATTGAATCCAACAGATTAAATATAGTTAGAATTAACTACACACTTTCTGGTGAAACTCTCAACAGTGTTAAGGTTAGGATTAGGATTAAGATTAGGGTTAGCGATAATCAAGGTAAAATGAATAGTATATTTAGTTAAATATAAGTTACATGCAGGAGGAACATCTACAAAGCGTCTACGTTGTGCTATAGAAATAATCCAACTATCTAAATGCATGTAAGGGGGACTCACGTGTTGGCGAATTTGAGGGGCAGCTTCCTCTGGGTCTTCTCCTCGAACCTGCGAGCCACCAAGCTGATGAATTCAGTCTTAAACACGCACTCCAGCAGGCTGTCATACTCCTGCTCATGCAGGATCATGAAGTCATCCTGTAGAGTGCTACAGAAGAAAAGAGAGACAGGAAGAAAAGTGAGATTTTGAAGAACAATTAAAGGAATAGTTTGGCAAAATATTGAATGTACACAACTTTCTCTTTTCTCCAAATTTAGTGGATCAGCCGAGAAATGTTTGGTGTCTGAAGTTTGATTCTTTAGTTTTGCTATTATGTTTGCACTGTGAGGCTACAGTGGACTGAAGTACATTCCATATCTAAAGAGAGTAACAGTAGCCTAAGTTTTGATCATTTTTATCATACATATATATACATACATACAGAAAAATCTGTTTGGCCTTATTTAACAACTCGACACAGTTCGAGGAGCGTGTGAAGATTTAGCATGCAGTTAGCACCATGCTAACTGGACGGCTACCCATCCAAAGGTATTTGCTCCAGTGCAAAACTAACAAAGCCAACTTCAGGCACCAAAGTACACTTTGGGAAATTCATTTTTAACTTACTATTCCTTTAAGCTAACGTTTTGGCTCCGGACTGAAAATGGAAAGTAGACGTGTTCGCTGACGAATAATATATCTACACATTAATTAATACATGATCTCTTATGAATATTGAACATTGTGCTCTGCAAAGAGCAAAACATCAAAACCCAAACACTTCCCATTCGGCACTCCGCACAGATAAACACGCCAGCAGGCTGAGTGTCAGATGTTCTCAGCTCAGTCTACAAATGACTTTATACGACGACAAACAAAACAGCAGGCGACTGAGGGGCGAACAGAAACGACATCAAGAAGGCCCATGCAGCGATGGCCTGTTTCCCCCAATAAACTTAAGTCTTTTCTAATGAGCTTTTTACAAGGCCTGCTCTCGCTTTCCAGGAGCACCTGGTTCACATTACCCACAACCCTCCACTCACATTACGCCTCACAGACCCCCATCAGACACACGGCGGGGCTTGTACACACTTTACTGCCCTCCATATGCATCACGTAAAAGATCAATGTGGGGCAGTGCACTGTAATGTTTAACTCGTCGGGTGACTCCTCTACTTTAATCCAGAGTCTTCGGGGAGCGATATGTGAAACAACTGACTTTTATCTCATCCCTGATTCATTGAAACCAACTCAGGACAGCTGTTCTAAATGTGCTTTTATAAATCAAATTCAGTACTAAAATCTGATAGGCTAAGTCACATTCAAAGCCATTGTAAAATAAAGTAATAAGCCACAAGACGCCTCGCATTACAGTGATTTTACAGTTTAGGGATGTTGTTAGGCCTTTGTTTTTAATCAGACATAAAATACAAAATTCTGAAATACTGATGTTTAATAAATAAATAAATTCTTACAATATAGCGGTAGTGCTATGTAGTTTGTTAAGGGGGTGTGGGGATGGAGGGTGGTTCAAATTGCATTTTTTGGTTGCTTATGGCTGCATATCTCCCAGTTGTTAAGCAACAACAGCCTTCTAACTGTCAATCAACTGTGCTAGTTGTCTAATGTTTCGGTATGTACAGGCGAAAAGGTGTGGCACTCGCTCTTTTAGAGGGATCCACTATTAGCTATCCAAAGTCAGTTAAACAAAGAAAGAAGCTGCTTTTTGATTATGTCAAGCCAATTTTGATCCATGAAAATCATAAAGCTCATGCTTAGCAACTACAACTGCTACTAAAGCCTGGCCTTCCTTTTGATCCGATTGGTCAGCACAGAAAAAATGCTCATGATGTAAGCTACCGACCAGTACAAGTTGAACTTTTTTCAACTTGTGTTGCCTGGAGCAACAAAGTATGCGATAACAGTGTGCAAACTATGGATCTCCCATTAAAAACAATAGAAAAAAGGCTCCTCAAAACGTATCCTGTGGTTGCCATTTTGTATTTTGGGTCAGTTGTGACCATATGGCCCAACTGAATTCTGTTTTAATGACCAAGTAATAAAAAGCCACTTTATTTTTGACTATTATGTTGCTTGGCAACCGCAGCCTGTTGATTACTTTTGATGTTGTGCCTAACAAATACCCTTAACGGTGGTAAAAAAAAACAAACAAAAAAACTGTAACACAGCCTCTCATGGCTCACTGCTTTATTACAGTTGTCATTCAGATAAACTTCATGCACTTTACATTAAAAAAAAACATGTAAACGTTTTTTACTCCCAAAGCCTGACTGCAGCTTAAGGAGGGAAGAACTGAATCTCTCACAGATGTCTTCAATTCCCCATGTGTGACATTTTAGAGCAACACAGGGGGCTCCGAGGGCTTTAGAGTCCAGCCCTGAGGCCTTTGAAGTGGCTGTGTCTGGATTTGTGCAGATGGAGAAGCTGGGCAGTATTACGGGAGAAAGGGAGGGATACCCGTACTCTGTGCTATAAGTAGTGCAGTGACATTAATATCAATACCAAGTGCTTTTAAAACACTTTAAAACATGTATTATTGCCTGAACAGTCGATGTTTATTACACTGAACAAAGAAAAATAAGTAAATTGCTACAGCTTAACTGATATCTATGATTTATTTTCTATCTTCATTAATATAAACTCTTCAAATGTTAAACAGTTAACTGAATAACGGAAACACTGGCTTACTTGGCGTGTTCCACAGAAACGATTGTGGGAACAATGGAATAAGAGAACACAATATAGCCTAGCACTCATCGCACTGTGTTCACAACATATACATACAAACATATAACTATATATACACACCGATCAGGCATAACATTATGACCACCTCCTTGTTTCTACGCTCCACTTACTATATAGGTGCACTTTGTAGTTCTACAATTACAGACTGTAGTCCATCTGTTTCTCTGCATACTTTGTTAGCCCCCTTTTACCCTGTTCTTCAGTGGACCAGGACCCCCATGGACCCTCACAGAGCAGGTACTATTTGGGTGGTGGATCATTCTCAGCACTGCAGTAACACTGATGTGGTGGTGGTGTGTTAGTGTGTGTTGTGCTGGTGTGAGTGGATCAGACACAGCAGTGCTGCTGGAGTTTTTAAACACCTCAGTGTCACTGCTGGACTGAGAATAGTCCACCAACCAAAAATATCCAGCCAACAGCGTCCTGTGGGCAGCGTCCTGTGACCACTGATGAAGGACTAGAGGATGACTTTACATCTACGAGGTGGACTGACAAGGTAGGAGTGTCTAATAGAGTGGACAGTGAGTGGACACAGTGTTTAAAAACACTGCTTTGCTGTGTCTGATCCACTCAGACCAGCACAACACACACTAACACACCACCACGTCAGTGTTACTGTAGTGCTGAGAATGATCCACCACCCAAACAGTACCTGCTCTGTGAGGGTCCATAGGGGTCCTGACCACTGAAGAACAGGGTAAAAGGGGGCTAACAAAGTATGCAGAGAAACAGATGGACTACAGTCTGTAATAGTACAATTATAAAGTGCACCTATACAGTAAGTGGAGCTGATAAAATGGATGTGTGTGTTGGTCAAGCTAACAGACAATCAAATCAAATCACATCAAATCACAATGGACTGTTTATTTGTATTTATATTATTTGTATTAACAAAGTTTTCAAGAAGTAAGTTAAAAGTTGAGTATTAAATCATTTACAATGTTGTAGTATTGAAAAAGCACAAAATGTTTGATATATTGTTCAAGCCCTAGTTTAACTTAAAGAAGTTCTAAACTGCAGAACCAAACCGCAGGACAGTACTGAAGGTCTGAGTTTCGGTGTTGATTCAGTAACGAATGTGTATTGTGGGATAATGTCAGATATGATCTTTCTGTATATGAGAAGTATCTGTGGCTTTTTATCTGCGTATGTGCTGTACTCCTGACTACCGATGAAGGTTTGTTGTTCCATTCTCACTGTATTGACTCACTGTTGTTTAATTATTAACCGGTTGACCTGGTTGGCACAAACGCACACACAGATACAGTGACTTTTATGCCTTACCTAAGAGAAATAGCCATGATCTTGTCCACCTCGATTTTGCGCTTGAGCACCTCCTTTATCTGGCCTTTTTCTGGACCCTGCTTCACCTTCTCCCTCCCGATCAGATAGACACCCTTAGGGGTCAGGATGAGGTCTCTCTTAATGCCCTTTCACAGCAAAGAAAAAGACAAAAAACATCAAGATAGAGGAAAAAACGAGAACAAATGCTAGAAATGTTCATAATGTCTATGAAATCTTCATAAATATCACTTCATGATCAAAGAATCAGGGGTCTGAATTCAGTCCCAGCTTCAGCAACCCATTAAAGTGACTGTTAAATCACTTTAATTAAATTAATATATATACAAAAGCAAAAAACATGGACAAAATTCGGGCTTCTACCACAACTACTAAGGCTACACTGTCTACATTTATAAAGAACAGCATGTCATACAGTGTTGGAAATCACATGAGCGAGTCAAGGCTACGTTCACATTATGAGGCACTAAGTGCAAAAGTCTGATCTTTTCAAATCAAACTTGAGTCACTTTCATACGTGGTCCTAGATCGGAATCGGTACATATCCATATTGTGTCCAAGCGACTTTAACTCTAATGAACAGATGATCCATTCTGAGAATTTGCTGATGCTCTTGAACGTCATAAATCTGCTGTCAAACGAGTTACAGCAGGGGCAAGTACACAATGACCACAGTGTAAACGTGTTTCTCTGAGCTACACTGTTTTCTATCACAGTGTAAAAGGTGCATGAGTCTTCCTTTCTTCTTGAACGCACGATGTTTTTTTTTGAGAGCAAGAGTGTGAGCTTACTCAAAACACAGTTCAGACTGATTATTATTGTTTTGTTTAACCACTGGGACAATTAAATGTGACTTATGTTTGTTATTCTGTGTTTATCTGTGAGAGAATGTAAATAAAAACCTGTGAATTTTTCACCTGTTCAGGCTTTGTTAGATTGTGTTCTTTGCTTATCAAATGAATGCCGCAACAATATTGAGAAATCATGTGATTAACGGAGAAGAGCTGATTAAACGGCAGACATATTCGTGTTTTTGTGTTGGTCCTGAAAGATTAATGAGCACAAAATTTATACGTTTTATCTTGTAAATCTGATTTTTTGATAAACTATTACTTTAACGACTGGTTTATTGAGTTCAACCAGGCACGCTGGAGCAGGACACTAAACTGGTGGTACTATGTTTTTGGTCTCCACTGGTCGAGGACTGTCATACATAGTACTGATATCTGCTCTGTGTGTTCAGTCAATGTATTATAGCTGAAGCACCTTGAAGCGTCTGTCGTATTTGGTGACTTTGTCCGCGAAGTCGATCTTCTCTCTCTTCCCGAGGAACTGCCTGAGCTCAGGCCGGTCATCCATGCCCAGGTAGTCTCCAACAAAGTTCCTGTTCAGGCTGTGCCTCCTTCTCTCCTTCTTGTTTAGCAGCAGGTCAGAGGCTGGAGGAAAAACACACAAACCATTTAACACTAGCATTTTACATCAGTCAGCCTATTGATGTGCACTGCACTTAAAAAAAGGGAACACAGTGACCTGACTTACATTCCAATAGTTATTTCTACATGAATGTAATGTATTACAACATGATTACTGCTGAAAGTACTGGACATTATTCATCATTTACCAGCTTCTTGTTGCTCCCAAAAAATTTGAACTATAGAATAAAACATCTAAAAATACCATTTTGTTGTATAAGTTACAATATTTCAGTCTATACTTGGGGTTGGAAATGAGGCGATATTCATTGTTGTGTATCTATTTAATGCCAATATGGTTTTCTGGATATTGTCAGTACTGAAGAAGTAGTACTTATAAACCATGATTAGTCTAGGTGGTCTAAATGGACTAAAACAAATCATTGTTTTCATAGTTTTTTATAATATTTTTAAACCCACTGCTGGTTCCTTTTTCATATCCAACTTATTAAACTTCTAAATAAATAAATAAATAAATAAATAAATAAAGTGTTTCATACTGTGTATTGAGAAGATACTGTGAATTCTTGTGATCATACATTGTTTGCTATTTCTCTCACTCCAACGTATACTATATAAGTTGGTAACATTGTGCTGATGTCATATTTTATGTGGAAATGATCAAATATATCACCTTATTTCAATTATTGCATTATTTAGGCATTGGTCACTATGGTAAAACACATTTATTTTTGGGGGTGATAAGCGCTGGTTGACCAGCAAAAGGGAAATGAATAATTACTTCCACTATAATGATTCAGCATGTAATGGTAAATTTTGCCAATCTGACAATAAGTTGGAAGTTTTTTTATCATATTCTGGTGCAAAAGCAAAACCTCTGCTGACTCTTGTGGTTCCAGCTAAACCAATGAATGGGGAAATGAGGTCATAGCCGCTATCGCATGTGTACAGTGGAAAGCCACCGAAACTTCACTTCTCACCCAAGCGGTTTAGATAGCGACTCTTAACGTAACAATGGTTTTCACTTCCTTTTTTTAATTCTCTATGTGTGCATAAGATGACTGAATAAGTGTGCATGGGTGTGACAGTATGTGTGCTTGGCCAGGCTCTGACAGGTCAGGCACGGGCTCTCACCCTCCTCTCTCATCTGTACGTATTTCTTTCGGGCCAGGTACTGGCGCCAAGCTCTCTGGATGGCCCGGGCGTAGCCGTCGAACTTTCGGTCCCTCGTCTCCTCCAGAAGGAAAAGCTGTGGAGCAGATAAAAAGAAACTGTACCCATTAGCCAGCACATACCTGCAGCTACCGCCACACCCGGGCCTGCCACGTCAGTGGAAATACAGGCGTGCCAAGCTCGACTGCAACCTCAAGCTCTCTGTTGCCCCCATGTTAGTCACAATGAATACATGTTAGTATATTCATCAAAACAATGATGAATATACAAGAAATGACACTACCAAGGCTCTTGGCTGACAACGATGAAGCCTACATACCATAGTAATGCATGAAATCAGTGTTTTCAATAACAAAGAGGCAATTTTAATGTATAAAATAATTCTAATAGTGCATTTAGTATGATGGGCAGAGTTGCAGAAGATGAAATGACTGAGAAAGCTATAAAACTTTGAAAAAGCATTTCCAGAATGCTTTGTATTTGGAAATTGGTGATAAAATCATGAAGAAGAAAAACAGACAATTATATTACAATATATAAAAATATAAAACTTTTTTTTCGAGGTCTAGATTATAAGATTTAAATGTACACTGTATAGCTTATTATGGATTTAAATCAAATTAATTATTCATTTAAAATTTCAAACATTCAGTCATTTAAAGCCTGATGCTTCAATATCTGACCAGTAGTTTAGTATGAAAATGTTATTCATTTACTTTTAATGTAATAAAAGTACAGTAAGTACCAAAAAAAAACACACACACACACACACACACACACACACACACACACACCAGCTCAAGAACTAAGATAACGAAATCCTTGCCAAATATCCTGAAAGGTCACTCCCTACAGGAGCCACAGATGCACATTGTGAGCTGAGGAAAGACATCACATTTAAACAGCTCTGGCTGCCTTTCGCTCCCAAAACGCTTCTCTCTCTCTCTCTCTCTATGTCTCATTCATTCATTATCTCGGACAGCCTCACTCTGTCCCTCTCTGTAGGGTCAGACTAGATTAGAGCTCCTCACTCTGTTCTGTCCAGCGTGAGCTCTCAGAGGACACTGCAATAGCACTACACAGCTCCAGACTAAACACACTATTCTCTCATTATCACCTCAGCCTGGACCGGCCACTCTCCCTCACACACACGCAGGTTTGTTTTTATAACTTGCCAGGACATGGGTATATACACATGTCCTATAGCCAAGATATATATGTAAGCACCTTGGTGTAGTAATAATAATAATAATAATAACAACAATAGTCATATGTTATATACAGTGCTGTGCAAAATTCAGAGCAACCTTCATTTATTTTCCAGTTAAAACAAGTTTTTTCAGTATATATTGTGTTCACTCTTTGCCTTTATTACAGCTTCCATTCTTTTCAGGAGACTCACTTTCATTTCTTCTACACCTCCAAAGTTCAGTCTTAGAAGTTTTGCATTTTCTGCTTCTCACCATCTAAATAATCCCAAACAGATTCAGTGATGTTGAGGTCTGGACTCTGGGGTGGTCAGTCCATTGTTCTGAGGACACCAGCAGCTTCTTGGGCTTCTTGCCAGCTACACGTCCTTTCAGACCCACAGCGCTGACGTCGTCTTCTCACAGTGGAAGGATGGACAGAAACATCTGTGGATGTTTTCAAATCTGAAGCCGCTTGATTTTCTCCTCTCTCTCAAAGATGAAAGCTTTAAGTGCTGTTTATCTGATGGGGACAGTTTTGGTGGTTTAACAGGTCTTGCACAGTCATTTCTCAATGTCAGTTTTGTTTTTTCACTTATTTTCCTTATGCAAGTGCATTATCTTATATCTAATCTTCTCAGAATTGTGTAATATCTTCAGAAATATCTCCTGAAAAATGAATAACGTACTGGAAATCAAATAAATGAAGGGTGGTCTCTGATTTTTGCACAGCACTGTATATGGAACCGCTTATATGTTATAATATTTGATATATATGTATGTAAGTACTTTTATATTACTTTTGTTTAGTGCATTTTACAAAGTCAGGAGCACTTCTCGTCCTGTAAGTTGCTGCTGTTTTTCTCAGGACATTTTGTCCTGAAACAATATAAAAACAAACACATGCATGCACACACCAAGCATGAGCCACGAGTGTTGGAGAGATTCCTCACAGCAGATGTAAAAAGTGAGAGAGCAGAAAACACAATCTCTCTCTCTCAATTTCAGAAGCCTCCCATCCTTTGCTATCATAGTCTGAGTGTCAAATCAGCTCAGACACAAACACAGCATAAAAGAGCCATCCATCAGCAGTCTGAAGGATCAGAGAGTTCATTCTGGCACACACACACACACACACACACACACACACACACACACACACACACACACGCACACACACACACAGCTGCTGTGGGTAAAATTACTCTGCTCGACAAAAAAATACCTGTAGTCATGAAGTAATTAGTGTGTGTCAGCACCTTATCAGAGCAGGAGTTTTGTTTTTAGAGACTGAGTGGATAATACTTAAAAGCCGCCCTGTTGGTACCTGTGTCGTGCAAGAACATCTAACACACACACACACACACACACACACACACCTTTCTGTGAGCTCACTGTGACGTTTCCAGTGACCTCAGTGTTGACATTTACATGCACAAACACTCACTTGCAGCACAAATGCAGTTACCATATGTTATCAAAGCCTCGGTTGTAACTCATGAACAGACCAGACGTATATATATATATATATATATATATATATATATATATATAAACACTGTATATACCTTTGTAACAATTTTGGATATAACAAGTTTTTAAAAAGAATGATACTGATGCATCATGGAATTTGTATTTCTCCACAGAAGATGATACTACCTCTGTTCCCCCCTCCAAAAAAAACAAAAAATGAATTACATATATATATATATATGTGTATATATATATATATATATATATATATATATATATATATATGTATACACACACACACACACACACACGTATATACACACATATATATATGTGTATATACATATATATATATATGCATATATATATATATATATATAAACACTGTAATATGTCTCTTATGGATTACAGTTCTGTATGTCCCTTGTGGATAACTATAATACTATAATATGTCCCATAGTGCCATATGGATTATATATACGTAAGTATATAAACAATAACATGTTCCATGCATTATGTAAGTTTAAGTACCTATAAATAACTACAGAATATGGACTATATATATGTAAGTACCTGACATGTTTCTGCAAAATCATCATTTTAGAGATACAAGTTTTGTTACGACAGGCACATAATATACAACATACACTCACACCTTTACACAATTATGTGCATTGAGTCGGATTAACAAGGTCTGATTCAGAGTGTGTGTGTGTGTATTTGTGTGTGTGTGTGTGTGTGTGTGTGTGTGTGTGTCTAGATGTCAACACGGAAACATCACAAGCAGAGCTTTCATACACAGCATGAAAAAGATGCAGTGGGGAAAAAGGCCCAGGCTCTGTTCTATGCAGAGCTGCTTCTGCACAGTCAGGCGACTGTGTGGACCCCCAAATCGATGTTGACTCAACACTAACACTGCTGTTCACTTAGGCCTGCCTCTGCTCTCTGTCTGCTAATGCTCAGAGAAAGAGCCTGACCACACAGAACACAGCCAGCTACTGAAACTGAAACTCACTGGCTCCGCAAAACCAACAGGAAGGCTCATATTAATATGTCTATGTACTAATAATACACACATAGAGCACAGCAGCTTTAGATAACAACTCACAAAGCCCATTATTATAAGCAGCATTATTACAGTAATTTAGTTATACTACTGAAGCATAATTCTGTAATTATGTGATAAATTTCATCGTTATTTACATTCTGAAATATTTATAAAGACGTTTATATTAAATGTTTAAAATGATCATGCAGGCTTTATCATGAGAATTTCAGAAAATGAGAATTTTTCTTCTTTCCAATAAGCAACAATAACTTCATCTAATTCAAATCATATTACAACATCATTAACATGAGTGCAAATGTGATCTTGACTGTTAGCTTAGAAATTGCATTTTTGACAGGACTGTCATATTTTCAACTACCTATGAGTGAGAAATGATTAAAGAAAACGTAGGAAAAGGCATTTAATTCATGACGTATGAGAGGGGGCGCTTAACAGCTTTGGAATATGTTTGTGTTTGTGGATTGAAGTAGCGCTCATACCGACTCAGGTGCTTTAATGAAGATTTTGGTTCGGCCCAGCTGGAACTGGTCCTGGTCCATGTTGACGGAGCGCAGCAGGTGCAGGACGCCCTGCTTCTCGTCCCCGCGCCACGTCGGCCACGACTCCTTTGTCAGGATGGCGTACCTGAGAACAGTGAGGAGGGATTAGATCTAACCGAATACTTTAGACTTGAACTGCCATGCCAATCACCCATCAGAGCCCTACTGAGCATACTCACAACATTTCATGTTCATTTTAGAGGTATTTGGATCTCTGGTTCCTATCACGAGTGACAATTCTGACTCTGTAAGTTTCTCTAGAACGCATCAAATGATTCTGTTTACATCTTAACCATTTAATTATGAACATATTTTTGGAAAATCGATGGAAATCCCCTTTAAAGGGAACCAATACATCAAAGCTGTAATGCCTCTAAAGGCAATATCACAAAATGTACAGCATGAAATGGTGATGAATACACTGCCTGAAATCTGAGTCGGTAGGTTTCTCTACAAAGCGTCATTACACATCAAAACACCCTGAATAACTCTGTTTACATCTTGATGATGACTGTGTTACACACAGAATGTACTTTATGTACAAAATATAAATTTTTTTTCTAGCAACTTAACTGCAAAGCCCAGTTGACTGAGAACTTCATGCTAAAGTTAACAGGCAAACAAGTCTCGTTCAGTGACGAAGCTACCAGCCTGAACACAAACCAGTCTTTCATAGCCGTGTACCTAAATGCCTCCAGTGCCTATAGCTCTGCACTCAGAGCAGAGAAACCAATAAAAAGACAGTGCTGTCTGTGTGTGTGTGTGTGTGTGTGTACGTCTGGGGGAAAGCAAACATCAGCAGGGCGGAGAGAAAGTGTGTGCGTCTCTCAGGAGGTCCAGGAGATGCCAGCAGACAATAACAGAGCAGCAGAAGAAAGCAGCCACTCCTTTAGTGCTCAGTAATGCTAACAAAACCCCCGGACAGAAAAAAGCACAGCAGGATTCAGGACAGCCGAATAGCTGCCGTCAGAGCGCACTGCTTCTTTTCTACAGCTAGTCTAGCTTCCTGCTCTTTTTCCTTCTATAATGTTCTATAACTGCACACCATTATTATTAAACCATCAATAAAAATAGTGTACCCTACTAGGTGCACCATCATCAGGGAGCTGGTGAGTTCGATCCCCAGTGATGCCACAACCATCCATGGCTGGGAGACCAAGAAACCGTAATGGATGGCCCTCTTTCTCCCCCCATGACTCAGCGCGATGACAGCCATGCAAGTGCTGGTTAGATATCATTTATAATTGAATAAGTCTTTTAATGTTCCCAAAAGGTTCTCACTGAATAAAACTGCAGCAATTATCAGCAAGACAGGTGATTCTACATTCAGGAATGGCAGTGCATTAGATTTGATTCGATTTGAAAGAATGAGAACGAAAGAGCAAGAGCCTTCTAGATGTATCCTACATTAAGGTGGCTTTACACGGTGAAACTTTCATTTAACTTCGGTTGCTTGAAACCGCCATAAAACTAAACTGAGCCTAAGCTGCACATGAAGCATCCTGCAACTCACTTGAAACACTCTGCAACAGTTGCATGTGTGTCTCAACTTTATAAAACAGGTTTCAGGAAACAGCCAAATCAAAATGGCAATAACGCATTATGTGATGACATCAAACATCATATGTTCAAACCATTGATTTCGCCAGATCAGTGGAGAGAAGAAGATGAAACAGAAGATGGTTTATTGGCCCTATCATCAGGAGACCGCGAGTTCGATCCCTGGTGATGATACAGCCATCCGTAGCCGGGAGTCCAAGAGAGCACAGTTGGCCTCGCTCTCTGGGAGGGTAGGATAGCCCCTCATCTTCACCCATCACTCAACGCGATGCTCTTGTGTGACTGGGGGAGTCCTAACTAATGGGGGCCGACCAAAAAAAAACGACTAAATTGGGGAGAAAATTGGGGAAAAATAAAAAAAACAAAAAGTTCCACAGTGTAAAGCCAGCCCAAGATCAGCTTATGATAAGAGAGAAATGAAAGCCATTATCATACTGGAAGCACAGAAGAAGAAGTGTTCATAATACACCCACACAAAACAAACAGTCTGGTTTCTCTCTTCTCTTTTCTGTCAACTATCCATAGCTAATCATTCTCCTGTAAGCGTAGCCAGAAAATTTTACTCTGATATTCCCATTCAGACCAAGATACTCCTACGTTAGACACGATTCTGCCGTCTGATCAGTGACACTTTTACATAGTGACTCATTTTACACAGCTGTGTGCTGCACAGTGACCTTCTGTACTGCACTGTTTGAACTGTTTCAGGCCGGTCAGTAGGAGTAGGAGTTTGTTTTACCTGTTCAGGAACTTGCGGAAGACTCTCCTGTAAGCGTAGCCAGCACGCCTTACTCTGATGTTCTCCTTTAGACCAAGATACTCCACTTGGTGTTTCACTCTGTGATGAAACAGAAGAGGGGGTTAAAATCACATATAAAATAGATGCGTCCAGTTTTAAAGTATGATTGGCCGACTCATTACAAGTTATTGTAAAATAGCTGCTATATGGCATTAATAAAATAAAATTAAATTAACAAATTAGATTATGAATAATAGTATAAAAATTCATACTGAAAAATTCAAACGGGCCCTGTCAGATGTTCTTCCAAAGTATATCGCTATTGTCGGAAGAAAACCTCGTATCTCCATTTTTGACATTTTTCAGTTTTTGATAATTTGAAAATTCCTGTTGCCCTTTACATTTTGTGTAACTTTCATGATGAATGGACCAAATTAAATGACCCAAAATGACTTGGAAAAAAGTCTGGTTCCATTGACTTACATTAGAAGTAAAGTAGGTTTTTCCCTTTTTCTGTAAAGTTACCATTTCGGAGATTCACACAAAAAAATAAAACTTTATAAAGAGAATTAACAAAAAATTAGAACAATAAGAGGTAATAAATATACAATATGCAACATATAATTTCAGACTATGATTTCTGATGATTATTAGGGTTTAGGAAGCACCGATTATGTTAACGTAATGATTTTCTTTTAAGTATATTCTTTTAATCATGTTTTTAATTTCTATTCTTTACTTTTTTAAAACATCTCATTTTCTCATCTGTAAAGCACTTTGAATGACCGCAGTGTATGAAAGGTACAATATAAAAAACTTGGCTTGCCTTAACAAAAATTACTGAAGTACAAAATGTATAAAATATAAATTACATCAGTCAATATTATCCATTAATGTAATTTTGAGTCTCCTAAAATCGATATCAGTCACAAAATTTTCACACTGGTCAGGCCCAAGTACACTAAATGTTCTGCAGACAGGACAATGGGCTATTTCAATGAAGTGTAATTAAAACACAGACCACTTTTCTGGCTGTGAAAGGCATTAAATAGTTCCTCCACCACAGCTCAGCCATTCTCAGTCACGTCCTGCACATGCAGAAGGCCAAGTGCTAATTACACCGCCCGAAGTGAACGTGTGCTCACAACAGGAAGAAGCAGAACAATACAGCAGGAGCCCCCCGGCGGTACAGCCCGTACCAAAAGCACCGGAGAGAAGAACGAGCAGGAAGGGACAAACAAAAAAGGCAAAATAAAGGCTGTGAAAGTCTAAAAGCAGCCAAACGGCCAGCAGGAGGTTTTCTGGACAACTCTCTAAATGACAGAGCTGGGAGGGATTCTGCATAGTAGATGTTTTAGTTTACGTGCTCAGAATGCAAAACATGGCCTAATATAACATTACTTCATGTCTTAGGTTTTAACCTAGGGCTGAGTTAACCATGAGGCTAAAATGAAAATACTTGGCCTCTGTGTGAAGAGCAACGACACAAAAACATCAAGGTGATGAAGTGAGGCTCAAATTCTTCAAGCCATTCTGCTTGTTACATCATCACCGCCAGTGGGGAGTTCAAACTGACCTGCCATGTGTGACTGTTGTGTTATGGACTTTAATCACTACTAATGTAGAAAAAACACAGAAAGACAAGTTTTGGCCAAATTTCAAGGCAGGTAAATATTTATTCCTTCGTTTAGCTAGTTAGCTAAGGTTAGCTATCCAGGCTAATTTTTGTCTACAAGCTGGCAAGAGATGTTCCAGTTACTGAGAAAATCTTTTTTGCTCCACTTTCCCCTCAACTGTGTGTGAGTGAGTGAGTGTGTTCACCTGCTCTCCTCCCAGTCTTTGGGCTTCTTGGTCTCATTGGGTTTGATACAGCGGATGTAGTGAGGAGTGCACTTCATCAGCGTGCTCACCAGATCATTAGCTTGTTTCTAAGAGACAGAGAGACAGAAAGAGAGAGATGAGGGAAGTGGAGAAGAGGGGATGTGAAGATGAGGGGATAAGGCGATGTGGAGATGAGGGGATGTGGAGATGAGGGGATGAGGGGACGTGGAGATGAGGGGATGTGGAGATGAGGGGATGTGGAGATGAGGGGATGAGGTGATGCGGAGATGAGAGGATGTGGAGATGAGGGGATGAGGGGATGAGGTGATGAGGGAATGTGGAGATGAGAGGATGTGGAGATGAGGGAATGTGGAGATGAGGGGATGAGGGGATGAGGGGAAGTGGAGATGAGGGAATGAGGGGATGTGGAGATGAGGGGATGAGAGGAAGTGGAGATGAGGGGATGTGGAGATGAGGGACTGAGGAGATGTGGAAATGAAGGGATGTGGAGATGAGGGGATGAGGTGATGCGGAGATGAGAGGATGTGGAGATGAGGGGATGAGGGGATGAGGTGATGAGGGAATGTGGAGATGAGGGAATGTGGAGATGAGGGGATGAGGGGATGAGGGGAAGTGGAGATGAGGGAATGAGGGGATGTGGAGATGTGGAGATGAGGGGATGAGGGGAAGTAGAGATGAGTGGACGTGGAGATGAGATGAGGTCACCACAGGCTGGACTGAAGTATAACAAAACACACATACACACTTTTCACACCTTACAGTTCAGCGCACCTTGATTTTACTGCCCGCAGTAGTGGGTCGACCTTTCTTCTCAGCGTTGAGGTTTTCTGGGAACAGTGCCCGGATAAAAGCTCTGCAGAGGAACAGAGAGAGAGAGAAAGAGAGATTAATCATTACTGAGAAGTGGAAGAAGACAGAAGGAAAAGCAAGAGACACAGAGGCAGATTTACAGGGAGAGAGAGAGAGAGAGAGAGAGAGAGAGAAGAGAGAGAAAAAAGAAAGGAGTGCAGATGAAGAACAGAGACTGGATGCTGCAGAGTTTTATCGGGTCAGTGAAAGTGGGCCGTGCTGCAGTGCACACTGTGTTGGAGTTTGAGGGTCAGGCCTGCAGTTTGAATAGCTGTGGTTTGGTGTTAACTGACTGTTTTCTGACCGTTCCCCTCCATTCCTCCTCAATGGGCGCTTTACTGCGCTGGAATTCAGAGCAGCTGATATTGTATTATTGCATTCACGCGTATCACATTACTGTATTTTGGAATTCATAAACGATCTAACCATGACGTCTCAGTGCCGCTCTGAATGTAACACACACTTGTGAGCATTCCAGGGTGTGTGTGGACCTCTTTCAGCCTAAGAATGCAGTTGGAACGGATTTCACAAATACCAGTCTTGACCCATGGGGACAAATATGGTGTGCTATTGTGCATTTTTGCTGTGGGTAGTGTTTCTGGTGAAATCCATCTTTTGAACCATTTGCATGCAAAAAAGTCACCTGAATGAACAGGCATATATATATATATGAAGAGCGCTTTCACATAAGAAATTAATTTTGTGTATTAAGTCATTAGTAATACTGAGATGTAAAGCCAGTTATTGAAAGCTCAAACAGAAGTTCTTCACTGCTCTTTAATAAAGGTTAAAGGTCAGAGGTTAAGGCTGTAGGGCGGGTCTGTGCAGATGGACTAGAGGCTCTGCGACATCACACAGCTGTCTATATAACGAACTCTCTCTTCTATTCTTCTGTTCAGCGCTCTGCTCTGACACACGCCTCTAAGACTGTGAGCGTCTGCGTGTGTTTCTGCATGAGTGTGTGTTTATGCCCAGCAGCACGTGTCTGAATGGGGTCTGAAGACGGACCCCCAGCAAGATCCACAAAGCACTGAATACAATAAACCTACAGGGAGGTGATGAGGGCTGTTTATACAGATGGCTCAGAAGAAGGAGAGAGAGAGAAAGAGAGTAAAAGAAAGAAAGAAAAAAAAAGAGAGAGATAGAGAGAGGGAAAAGAGAGAGAAAAAGAAAGCATGAGACAAAAAGACATGGGACAAAGGAAAGAGGGAAAGATAAGAGAGTAAAATAAGAATTAAGAATAAAAAAAAATGTACATCATTTTTTATGTTTTTATCATTTTCCATCACGTCTTTGACTGAATCTACAACGTAGAACTGTGCAGGATGTGGGGACACAAGCAGCTCTTATACAGCTGAGCTGCATATGGAAATATTTCTCACAGAAGGTTGAAAGATTTGTACAGTGTACATTTATGTGAGTTACTGTTCTGTAGGTCAGCTGGTAGCGTGTTAAATCACACAAGCCTAAAACACAAAGATAAATCACTCTGTCAACTGAATCAGTAGGTATGAATTACCTGTTACGCAATCTGCTCACAATAAAAGAATAATCCATGTTTTCATTTTTAATATATTACAGTATAAACTATTTTCTTTTTGTGATATTCTACTACTATTTATTTTAAAATTCAAGATTTTAAAGAAGCACAGATGGTTAAAAAGCCCATTTCTGCTACAAACCCTCACTCAGTAGCAGGCTATATGGGGAGAACCAGCCCTGAAACACTGCTGTTGTTGCCAGACAACGTCTCCAGCTGGCCAAATTATCAGCATTATTTACATACATTACACATTACAATAGGAAAGTCTGGGCAAGAGAAATGGCTTTTCTATGCTGGACTGATGGCTGAAGAGTAAAGAGGCTGATTGGCCTTCACTCACATCTCACTGCTCTGCATCAGCTCGATCAGATCCGTGAACAAGACATCTCTGTTCCTCTCACAGAATCCCTCAGCATCATAGGACACCTGGAAAGAGTACAGACACACACACACACACACACACGTCAGTCTGTGAGGTCATATATTTGTCCATATGTGGTATACAAAAGTGGTTACCCATACATAACAATGTAACAAGTCCCATATGCATGCATATACATACACATTACGTATATGCATATATGTGTATTTATTGATCCCAATTAACTATTATAACCAAATTTGATTAACTTGTTGACTGAAGGGCAATTAATGGGCATTATGTGTTCGACAAGTTTGTCTTTGTCTTATGTTAAATTCTGTTTGAAGAATCAGAAACAATAAAGTAAACTGAAGAAATACAGGGAGATTCACTTGAAAGAGGCCCTGAAAATTCTGTAATAACTCTCTCTAGGATGTGTCGGAGTGATGAGGTAGGCTGCGGACAGCCGTCATGACGTTTAACCTCCGTTAATTTCAGAGTGCATATCCCTGTACCCCTTCACATGTCTGGCAGAAAATGGAGATCAGTTACAGCAACGCATGTAATGCAATCGATTACACATACGTCAAGGTATGTAGTGTATTTTTTTGGTTCAGATTGCTTCATCCTAACGGGAGTTACAACAGAATATTCGGGGCCTCTTTCGAGTGAATCTCCTTGTATATCGCTGCTGTCGGAAGAAAATCTCATATCTCCATTTTTGTCTTTTTTCAAATTTTGAGATAATTTGAAAATGCCTGTCGCCCTTTACATTGTGTGTAAATTTAATGAAGAATGGACCAAAAGAAACGGCCCAAAACGACTTCGAAAAAAGTCTGGTTCCACAGACTTACATTAAAAGTAAAGTAGGTTTTTTCCTTTTCCTGTATAGTTCTCATTTTGGACATATGAGGTTTTCTTCCGACAACAGCAATATGTAAGTGTCTGTACGTAAAAATAACTTTGTTGATCCTGTAGGTTAGCACCATTTTATCCCACAAAATGCACAACGTGCACAAAAACAACACATACATGCACACATACATATAGTCACTATCAGAACAAAACCTCATATCTCAGAATAAAGGAACTTTACAGAAGCAGGAAAAACTGTTTTTAAACTTCAATGTAAGTTATTGCAACAAGATTTTATTCTAAGTCATTTTGGACCACTTCTATTGGTCAGTTTATTGTGAAACATGTAAAGCAGCTGGAAAATTATGTAAAAATATGAAAAACGACCACAACGCTGACACTACACTGACACTGAAGGAAAGAAAGCAGGGGAATGTTGTGTGACACTAGCCTGAAGCATTTCCTTCTTTACAGAAATATCTGAAGAACAGGGATCTGTTCTAAGCGCTGGGGAAGTACAGTCACACTGACACATCACACAACCATTAGCATGATTCTCGGATGAGTAGAATAAGGGAAATGACTTTGTTGGAGAGTTCTGTGTGCAGGTCCTGATCTACGCCCTGGAGAAGAATGCAGTTATTATAATTCTAATCAGGCTGCGGGTGTCACGCAGGCCCTCGCTAACAGACCCTCCCCTCCCTCCCTCCCTCCCTCACTCAGTACATGCCTCATTAAATAGGAGATATGTGGGGGGTCCCCACACACAGAGACACACATTCCTCCCCAGAATCAGTACAAGGGACAAATTATGAGGCTGAAGAAGAAAGACAGGGGATGCAAGAATGACAGACAAACATCAAAAAGCAAACAGAAAAACACAACACTGTAAAGCCTCATTGGAGCTGAGTGTGACCCGTGAGGTGAAACTGAGTACACACTAGATCTGAATCCTGTATGAGTCTGAAGTGTGTGTAGTTTTACAGTCTGACAGTAATAATTGTGGAGCGATTTTAATCCGGTATGAATCTGCAGTGTGTGTAGTTTTAACCTATAAGTAGCTCAGTCAGTTTGCATTGAAGTCTCTGTAGTTACTGCATAACAAGCCTTAGTATGTAATAAGCCTGGGATTTTAAGGGGTTAATTACTTTCATTAGCTGAACCCAGAGCTCCCTCACTAATAGTCGTCCTGCTCCAATCCACCTCATGCTAATGGAATAATCAAACCTGCTAAGAGACACAGCCATACGGTGTATTGTTATTGTCACCGAATGTGTCCTGTGGCGTAACAATGACATTAGAACATCCTGGCAATGGCTTACAATGTGGGCTGTCTGAGGAAGTTTGGAGAAATAACACAGACATTTTCTTCCAAATAAAACAGCCAATCAAATTCCAACAAATTACACTGCACAGCCTGCTTTTGTAAAACTCGCCCAGCTCCAGGTGAACGATTTCTGCCTTTAATTCTACTTTTTTTACACTTATATACCAAAATACATACCAGACATGATCTAACAAAGCCAAAAGTTTCAAAAACTACAACTGTGTGTGAGTGTGATAACATGAATATGAATAAATTTCACATTTCATGGCCTTTTATTGTTACTCTGATTTAACAAATCAATAACAAGTGTTTCCAGAGTGAAGTTTCTGAATGTGTGTGCGTGTTCACTCAGAAACTATTGTAGTGCATCCAACAATAAAGGCAGCATGGAACTTCTTTTATGCATTGATAGGAAACATGGTAGCTCACAGAAGGCTCTAACTCCACATGCTGATCCATTTTACTATGACCAGCATGGACATGCACTGACCAGCTACTCTGGGGCAGATTTTAGTTATTAAAAGAGGACAAATAAGATACATTATGTACGATGGGGTTAAGATCATAGGCAGAAATCAGAGGCAGCATCCGTGAGAGCGTGTGAAGTGAACATACTGAGGAAAAACCTGCCAGCAGTGATATAGAAGAAAGTGAGAGAGAGAACCAGACAGTGTCGCTCTGACCTTTCCAGCATAGTGGTGAATTATAAAGCCTTGGTTCCAGCTGTTGAAGTGCTCATGGTTGTTGATCTGCATTCTCAGCTTCTGCAGCATGGTCTGGTCTGCACCTTCACCCTTGGCATGCATCGTAGCACACACGTCGTCCAGGATGCTCATGATGCCAGGAGGGTTCTGGGAAAAATTACACAAAAAGTCCAGCTAAAGTGTTTTTTTCCCCTCATCCACCATTCAAAAAAGCAACTTAAACTGCAGTTATTAAATAAATAACTACAAAAATAAGTTTCGGTCCATTATTTACTATTCTACCAGTTTGTTACTGTATATACGATATGAACAACACTCCAGAGAGTGACATTATAGAGTATGTGGATAACTGACGAACTGGGCAACTTATGTTACAAAAATATAATATTATGATACTTAAAAGAAAGAACTTTTATGATGCACAATATGTAGGAAAACATTTAGTTTTTCTAACTTTTGCGAACAAGTTGGAACAAATAAAACACAGCTAAACACAGCTAGCAAAAATAAACAACAAAATAAGATGATGTCATAACGGGCTGACATCCTATCAGCTACTTGTTGCAATGCAGCTAATATATGCTGGTTGTTGTTGTTCCTCTCTGTAAGGCTGGCTTTGAATAATGAAACTTACTGCAAATTTAGTCACTTGAAATGTACAAGAAACTAATTTCATATGAGTTGCACAAGGTAAACTGTCCTGCAACTGACTTGAAACTTAGATGCAACAGTTGCAACCTTCTCAACTTCATGCACCGAGTTTGAATAAACAGCAATAACGTATCATGTGATCATGTTGAACATCATTTTAAACGACTGATTTCACAGAATCGATGGACAAGAAAATAAAACAAAGGACGGTTGAAAATGAGATCTGTTTGTTATGTTGGTAGTTTTTCATTTTGTCAGTTATCTGAGCCGTGACAACAAACAAAAGTAAGTTTGCTCAAAGCTAACATTTCTGTAAAACTGCTGGATTAACTAGCCAGCTAACGTAAACAGCTGTTTAACGGCTGTTTGTGTCACCATTTATTTTTCTTTGTTAGTCTGTTATTCTAATCTAAGTAGTTAGATTATTTATTCTCTCCTCTCTTGGGATCCAAAGAATAAATATTATTACACCAGGGCTGAGATGTAGTCCTCGATTAACTTGCAGTGCTTCTAGGAAAGGAAGAGTGAGAAGTACAACTTAGTCATTTTCAAAGATGTAACATACATAGAACAGATTAAAAACTCAAATATATAGTTTTCATATAGATGAAAGATTTTATGTAATAAAACCTATATGTTGTATTAAAGACATACAAGCTGTTAATTCACTAATGAAGTAATTAAATGTGTTGTTTGCAACTTTGATTTTGATTGTATGTAAATTAAGTTGCATGCAGCCCACAACATGCAACTAGTTGCACTGAAGTTTCACTGTGTAAAGCCAGCCTAACAATGTTGTTTTTATGAAACATGTAGTTGCTCGGTGCACTAGAAGTACTGATTATACAAATCATATACATAAAAAAGCAGACTGCAACATATCCATCACAATAACAATAACATATCGTCATAATGCCAACCCCTACTGATAAATAAGAACAGGTTTTTCTGGCTTATTTCAAAGAGCTTTCAATTGCTCTTGGCTCAGGAAAGATTCACAGATGAATTGGTCGTTTTAAAAAAAAACGCAGCAACATCATCTCTTATGTCTCATATCACACATACCACCACCTGATATCAGTCACACAGCTGGCCCCCAGATGTACTACAGCATACTGAACCACTATCTCTGTTCCTCAGTTGAAAAGATCCAGGCCGATCTGTAGCCACAGAAGCAGCCTAGAGCAAATGAATAGCTTTATCCTGCTCTCATAAAAACCAGCTTATAAATTTCTCACAGGCTACTGTTAACATTTAGCAGGCTAGCTTCCCCAAAAAGCCACACACAGAGAGATAAGAACTTCTCTTAAAGCCAGACTCTGCTGTCACACTGCTACAGCTGCTTAAGGGCTTCCCTTGTCGTGGAGTTCCAGGGTAAACCTCTACGTAGGGACAGACAAATCAAATTAGGAAGCGCGTTAGCTTGTTTGAGGCCATCGGACTGCCAGTCATGGGAAAAGACGGGAGGTCTGTGTGGCTGGAGACGTATCAATTTGGCACACTGTTGAGTTTTATTGCTCGTGTAAAACGCAGTTAGGAGGACGCGGCTCATATCCTATCCGTGGGAAGGAAACGCTAAAAAGCCGGTTTCACTCTCGGCACTTACTACTTTACTCTCGATGAGGTCGCAGACTATCTTGTTGTTGAAGTACTCAATGGGAGTCCATCGGATTCCCTCCTGCACATACTCCTCCTAAAACAGGGAGAGAGAGAGGTAGAAGAGGGAGAGAAAGAGGGAGAGAGTGTAAAATATCATCAATAATGAAGAGACAAAACAGCACAACAGAAGAAAGGAAGTATAAGAGGTATCCTTGTTGAACCAGGTTAACATAGTCAGGTTACTGAAACTCTAAAATGCATAAGCACACTGTCAATCAAAAGTATGAGATCATCTAGCTTTTCAAAATGGTTTTAATTCAAATGGGCATGTTTTCTTTGTTAGCTTGCAATCTGTGGCGTGATAATCAACTATGACTATTAGTGCTGGCCAATCTGGGCTATAATTGTCAAACACCAAACAACATAAATAAAAAAACCCACCTTTACTATAATGTTTATAATGCTAATTTTGCCGTTAGCATCTATGGGAGTTCTAATAATACGTTAGCACTGAACATTCTTTGGTCCTTCTAGCTTTAACATCGACAATTAAAGCTTGAAATTACTGAAAGCTGAATAGTTTACCACTCATATTCAAAGTCAGTGATGTCTCTCAAACTTCCAGAAGGCCTAGAGTGATGATTTTTCTCACAAAATTAACCTCATCCATTGTAATTAGAAATTGTCACTGTCATTTCCCAATTATGTCACTTCCTTATCTAATGTGTAAGGTCTTCAGTCCAGCTCCTGAAGGCCTAACCAACGGGAGACCTCACTTGGCTGTATTTATACAGACACTGTGGGGGGAAAAAATTTCAGACTGGACAATTTTCCATTAGGTGTCAAAATTTTAACCCTTTTTAACCCAAATTTCCAAAAAATTTACGCCTTTAAGATGGAACGGGAAATTCAAAGAAGAAGCTGGTGAATGAGAAGCGACTTAAGCCTCGTAAAAAGTCGAGACATTTGAGAAAACATTGAGAGACATTTTACAAGAAACTGTTCTACAATTGCAGAAAAGTTTCCTGCTGGAGATGTGAGAAAAGCAGATATAGCTGAGCTAAAGCTTAAAGCAAAGTAAGTCTGTGTCTATTAGCCTGTGTTTATTAGTTTTTTAGCCTATACTAGTACATCAGCACATACTGAGACATATTTACAGCCAAGATGGTAAAACGGACATAAAATGTTGTGACTCCCAAGGTGGTTTGATTTTTGTTGAAAGGACAAAATAGCTCTTCTTAACATTTGGGTTGCCGACCTCAGAGATATTTCAATCACCTTTGGGCCAAAAGTGTTTCAATGTGTAACAATAGTTTGGAAAAGAAAACTTGGCACAGTGCCATTTTATGCCTTTCTTTCTTCACTGAAAAGTCACTGAAAAATCAAAAGAAGCAAAGTGTCCTCAAGTTTACAGTGTCAATATTACCATTTAGTCTAATATAAATGACACAAAACAAAAACTGTACCTGTTCTGCTTTCAGTGTAAGCTCAATGAAGATCTGCTGCAGCTTCTCATTCACAAAGTTGATGCAGAACTGTTCGAATCCATTTTTCTAGAAATGTATGAAAATAAAGTCATGGAGCATCATCAACAAAACTATAGCAAACCTACATTTTCTCCAAGACTTTCTTACTTCCGCTTGAAAGACTTTATTACAGGACCAGAGTAAAACATGACACAGGTTTACCATTTCTGGTTTATAAAGCAAATAGGTGTCTAACTCTGAAAGAGAACACTGCAGCGTAACTTTCTGCACTGATTGTAAGAGAATTCTGCGGCCCGGCACGACCAGACGAGGCCTTGTTTTTAGCAACAGCACTGTGTACAATACATACACCCATAACTGTGGACCCAAAACAGAACCACACAGCGTTACTGAGTCTAATAATGATTCTTCCTGCATGCAGCTAAGCACATTACAAACCTCGTATACAGAATGAACTCAAACAAAGGCATAACAAACGAAGGACATGCTTAAGCATCAAAAGCTCTGGCAGTTCGAAAATGAATTAGATATAACAAATAGGTTTAAAAGCACTCTTTCATCCTATGATTTGTAATCCGAGCCAGGCACAGATGAAATAACCCTGTGTGCTAAACAAGCAGATAATTGGATCAGCAAGACTCCTTAAGACTCACTATCCGTCTGAAACAAAAGATTCAGTCAATAAGGAACCAATTCAGACGATTAAAAATTAGTCCTCTATCATGAACTAGACTGCATGTTCCTTGGCTCAGCACATTATATTAGCAGTGATTATAAATAAATGAACTTTTATGGAGCAATTTAAAACCTTGAATTTGATAGACAGAGCATTTTAAAACTGCTCTGAATTCAGCATCCAGGAATGAAAAACATATAAGGAATGTTAGGAAATACCTGGAAAATCTCAAATCCGTAAATATCCAGCACACCGATATTCAGCTCCTGATGATCCTTCACCATGGCTTTATTGATCGACTGGCAAAAAAGAAGAATTACTCTGATAAACTTACTGAAATAGTAAAGAAGGAGTCTAATAGATAGATAGAGTACTGTGCAAAAGTCTACCCTTCATTTATTTAACTTCCTGCCATTAAGTACAAGTTTCATTTTGTATCTTTGTATCAGATTTTCAATCTGAGGAGATTAGGTGTAAAACTCTCTATAAGGAAGCAGAAAGTCAAATGAAAATATGTGAAAAACCAGGAGCTCCCAAAACTGGAGTACAAAAAAAGAGAAAATGAGATGATTAACAACTGTGTAAGACCTGGTGGGCCACAAAAACTGCCCCCATCAGATAAACAGCACTTAAAGCTTTCGTCTTTGAGAGAGAGGAGAAAATCAAGCTGCTTCAGATCTGAAAACATCCACAGGTGTTTCTGTCCATCCTTCCACTGTGAGATGTGAAGTTTTATGAACTGAATTTGTATTTGGGATTAATTGGATCATGACAGGCAGAAAATGCAACCAACTTCTAAGACTGAACTTTGGAGGTTGGGAAAAATATTCCAGCAGATTTCTTTGAAAAACTGAAAGTGAGTTTCCTAAAAAAAATGGAATCTGTAATAAAGGCAAAGTGTGGACAAACTAAATACTAAGAAAAAAACATAATTTAATAATAATGTTTTCTGCTTTTTCATGATGCTGAAAAATGAATAAAATACACTTAATTGCTGTTTCAATTGGAAGCGAAATAAATGAAATGGTCGTCTCTGATTTTGCACAGTACAGTGTAGAGAGATAAGACTGCTGCTCACAACAACGGTCACCTGCATCCAACATGCTTATTTACATATAACACATCTGAGGTAGTTTTTATGAGATTTTAAAAACATATCCACATATGGATTTTGTACATAATGTGACGTATAAAGCTATGGTAACTCTAACCTCCACCAAGTAATCAAAGAGGCGAGCGTGCAGAGCTTTGGAGAGGGCGTCCCGCGTGAAACACGCCTGCTCCACGTTCAGGGTCACGTCTATAGACTCGGACTTTCCTCCCCATTTGCCGTCCATCTTACGGCTGGTCAGTTTCTCCTTCAGTCGCTCCTGGTCAATGCCCAGCAGGAAGGCGGGAAAGGCCAGGACTGCAGAGGAGAGAGAAGGAGAAGAGGAGGAGGAACAGTGTTAATCTCTTAAACCTTAGCCTTTATTACAAAGTCAACAATCTTAAGAATTAATATTCAGTAACTACTATGAATATTTTACTAACTACTATGAAATTAATATGTAAGTTATGTAGATGTGGAGGTGATGAACTGATGTTTGGACCCACACATAGATTGTTTTGAGTTTAAGGACACAAAATTATTTTATGGACATGGCCGAAGATCAAGTGACCCATTTAATGGCTTAGTCTAACCACAACAAAGGTCCTCTAAGGACAGTGAGGCATAACTGACCAGATCAAGTATCCTCCTCAGCTCGCCTCCCTGCTTCTTCACTGAGTCACTTCCCTCAGAAAGGAAGGCTCTTACTGAGTCCTGATAGATACTTACTCCACCTAGCCCAGTGGCCTCATGGGAAATGAGGATGCAGCCTTAGCACACCAGGTCCCAGACCACAGACGAACACTCAGGCTTTTGCTTTTGCCTTCCAGAAGAGCAGAGAGCTACTCTCTTACTGCTTTTCTAACATTATAATAGTCTAATAAAGCTCAAACTATCATGAATTTTCATCATTGTTTCTCATATTTGTTGATCAATTTTAAATGCCATCACAGAATCACTGTCAGGGATAGGGGTTGAAATATGTGTCAGTCCTTGACGGGACCTGGCTGCTCATGGATGCTGATGGATTGGCGGCCTGTCCGGGGTATTACCTGCCTCCTGCCCAGTGATCACTGGGATAGGCTCCAGCTCCTCCCGCGACCCAGAAGGATAAGCGGCTTAGATAATGTGTGTGTATGTATGTGTGTGTATTTGGCACTTTGGGTGACAATAGGCTTTATTCAGGTCAGTTTCGGGCAGAATTTTGTTGGGTTCAGGTTAGTCTCGTACTTAAAACTTGATTATCCGGTCCGATAATCTGGTGGTCGGGCCTGTGTTTGTTCATGTTTCTAGCCTGTTTCCTGTTCCTTAGCCTTGTTCCTGTGTGTCTTTCTGTTTGCCTTCGTTCTTATTCTCTTTCACCTTGCTCATGTTTATTGTTTGGTTTTCCCCAGTAGGTTTTGTATCTCTAAATAAAGCCCTCGCTCACACTTACATCCACACGTAAGCACTCGCACTAGTGATTACTAATAGCTAGTGGTCCATTAAACACTAAGCACCTCTCCCTGAGGTCTGCTAAGGTTTATTCTTCACGGCCACTACTACATAACTTGCATGTTAGTTTCACAGCTGTTACGGGAAAATAAGCCTCAACATTAATAACGGAATAATAAGCCCAGGTATTAAAAGTTATAAAGGTCACAGTCATTGCCAGCGACTACATCAGTGCCAACTGATATCATTTCTCCCTCATAGTTTACTATAACAAGCAGAAACGTTCACAAAGAATCATTTAGAATCTTTATCTTTAAGAATTCGACAGGCTGTTTTTGTTACTGTGTTTTTAAGACTGATATATTTTGATAAGTGAGCTCTGTTCTTATTGCTTCATTCAAAAAGCAGCCTGGGCTGAAACTCTCCTTATAACAAGTGAACAGGGTGGGGCTAAACAGCTGTACACTGTATGTAAAAACACATCTGTGAAAATGCACTGGCTTTCATGACATCATGAAATCAGTGTCTGGCCTAATTCAAGGATATGGAAAGAATTTGGATGGAAAATTTTGACCCGCTATTTTATAACACCTGAAATACAGAACTGGTCATCAACAGCCAGGTTGGAAGATGTGTGGGAATAAGGAGGCCAATCAAACACACATGGGCTATTCAGTTCCCAAAAAATGCAAAGTTATGTACCTTGGAGATATAAATGATGGAAATGGATAATGGCAAATATTGATCAAGAACACTTCTGATAGCCAGCAAAAAAGCAATAACATGAAACTGGTATAAGATTGAACCTCCCTCAGTAGAACAGTATGTGCAAATTGTAAGACAAATTTACATACTAGAAAAAATGACTTACCAGCTTTGAGTGAGAGAAAACGTATTTGTTAACAGGTGGCGAAAACGGACGACATCTGACACCACAGAAATACTTAGGGATAAATGGATGTAAATGCAAGGACGATACACCTTTAAATACACTCATTTGATAAGAGTTTTGTGATGTTTTCCTTCCTTCCTTCCCCTCCCATCCCCTCCCCTCCCCTCCTCTTGGATGTTTTTCTGATTGTGACATTCCTTTATTGTATATATTGTATAGTTTCCATTAGTTTCCAGTCCATTATATGGACTGGGGAGAGAATGGTACATTTTGAACCTTAAACTTTATATACTACGTTAAACTCGTTTATTTCAACAAGGTGAGGAAAATTCAGTGTTCTATCATATGCGATTACTATTGCCTTTTACTATTTGCACTGTGCACATGTGAACGACACATAATTGAGTTTTTCTATACATATCAGACTTTGGTTTGCTTCACTGTGTGGACCAATTCTGCTGTGAGTGATTTTTACATCAGCTCCCCAGTGAATGTGTCAAAGCCATTGGCGGCAGCCAGGAAGTGGGCTTCGGGGGGAGGGCAGGAAACGCACAGATTAGGCTGTGAGCAGTGTTGCGTCTGCACCCAGCACAGCACGGCTTTGTACCACCACGGCCAGTCTCAGCTCAAACCATTCAGCCTATAATCGAGGGACTGAGGGATGGATAGAGTGGTGGAGAGAGGACTGAAATGAGCAAGTGAGCGAGAAACAGCCAAGAGTCAAATTGGAAGGGTGGGCTGGCGCAACAGGAAGCTCCACATTTCTTGGTGTAATTTTAGTCTGTGATGTAATTTGGCCAGGCGCAGAAACGCAGCTTCATTTTCTGGGTTAATTCAGCGTGGCTGTGGCTGCCTGGCTACAGCCCTCGACTAACACAATGAACATCTAGACAGAGGGGGAAAAAAAACAAACAAGGGAAAACAGAGCAGACAGGCTGAAAAGAAAAGTCTCCACTGAGGGCGACTGAGGACACTGCAGAGAGCCCAGAGAAGCCACAAAGAAATGTGGCTTCACACGTTGAAAGAGAGACGATGGTCACAGCACTGCGGTCAGTACTAGGGATTATACAACACTTTGTTCTGACCACTCAGGCTGACTGGCTGAAAAGCATTGTATTGTTTTTGATAACAGCACAGTTTTTTTTTACTATGCGTGCATCATTCTGATGACCACAGGATGCTAACAACAAATTCTATTCAATTTAATTTAAAATGTATTTATGTGGTGCTTTTTAGAGCGAGCAAAGTCACGAAGATCTAGCTTTACAGAAGATCCAGGTCCAAGCCCTAAATGAGCATCACTAAGGGCCATAAGAGCAGGAGGAAGAAACCTTAAGAGGAACTACGACTCAAAAGGGGAACCCATCCTCCCCACCAGATAGCAACATAATACAACAACAAGAGAAATATGAATGAGGAATGAAGAACTGAATATAAAATTGCGAAAAATGTGAAAAAGAAACCAGCCAATGACTGTACGGAAGTATTTAGAATAACCAATAATAACTGACGACTACTGTTAGAAGCCTATAAGAGAAACAAATGACAAACAGATCTATGACAACCAGTGATTAATATTACAGTCATATCACAACAAAAACGTGAATCCATGAAAAAGCTCTGACTACTGTTATAAGCCTGTCATGATGATACATTAGTAGGAATACGTGAAGAACTCAGGATGAGGCAAGTGAACAGCGTCTAACACTGAATAGCTCCAGTTCCAGAGTCTGTGCAACAACAGGTATTCTAAGGCCTTTATTCACTGAGCACAATTAATTTGTGCGCTTTTTTGGCTGTCACTAAATGTGTTTGAACATGTGTATAACTGATGATACCCTACATACAAAACACAATGTTTTCAGATGAAAATGTAACATTACTTTATCCACCTCCTCTTGTTTGGTTTTTGTGCATTTTTGCAGGTGACATAAATCACCAATCAAACGCACTCAAAGTTTCAGCTCCAGAATTCTCTGTGCTCTTTTCACTTTTCCAAAATGGTAAGTAGAGTCAGAAAATTCCACTTTTCTGTGCCGTTCCTCTCATGATCTGTATGTTATGGCCTTTACTCTGGGCTGCTGGAGTTACTTTTTTGGTTAAGTAGACTGCCATTATACACAAGGTTGTGTTATTGTGATGAATAACATCACAGCTGTAATGTTACTGTGATAACTCAGGTTCTACTGCGTTAGTACAGGAGGTACAGCACACAACTGATACTCACACTCCTCGCTCTCCACGGCTGCATAGTTTCCAGCCTCTCTGAAGCTGATGTTGCCCAGGTGAAGAACTCCAGCTACAATCTGCAGCACCATGGAGCGGTCCTCCCTCGAGATGCCTATCACATCCATGGCATGCTAGGGAGGGACAGAGAGAGAGAGAGAGAAAGGGGGGGGGTGGAGAGAAAAGGAGGAGGGGGTTACATTAACACATTCTGCAGTCACTCGCCACTGCTGTTTCCCAGCCCATGTCCTCTAATTACTCCTGCTGTGGCTTCACTGATAAACAAAAACAGGTGTCTAGTACGAAGTGGAAACGGAAAAAGCATGAGTGGAAAAGAAAAGAAAAGAAAAAACAAAAGAAAGGAAAGGACAGAAAAAGAAAGGAAAGAAAAGAAGGAAAAGAAAAGAAAGGAAAAGAAAAGAAAAAAGGAAAAGAGAAGAAAAGAAAGGACAGGGAAAGAGAAGAGAAGAAAAGAAAAGACAGGAAAAGAAAAGGAAAAAAGAAACAAAAGGAAAAGAAAAGGAAAGGAAAAAACGCATGGAAAAGAAAAGAAAAAAAGAAAAGAAAAGAAAAAAGAAAAGATAAGAAAAGAAAAAAGAAAAGAAAGGAAAATAAAAAGGAAAAGAAATAAAAGGACAGAAAAAGAAAAAAAAGAAAATGAATTAAATGAAAATAATATTTGAAATTAAGACAGAAAGTCCTCCCTGTTTTTTGTTAGAAAAAGGTCAACACTAGAAAGAAAGAAAGAAAGAAAGAAAGAAAGAACAGAACTTCTTTCTCATTTTCAGTGACTGTCATTGCTGTGTATCTGTACTCTATTTGTTTTGTGCTGCAGCTGATCTGGTAGACTCTGTTTCCTAAATATACAAAACCCAACAGAGTAAACTGCAATCAAAGTGTCTAAAAAACAGGCACGTGTTGCTGTAAGTCACCCTCTCCTCCTGAAGAGTGGGGAAAACTTCTCATCCTCACATCTGAGAAAGAGATAGAAAAAACAGCAGGCAGCCTGAGTCACTCACCAGAGTTTCCTGGAAGTCGCTCTTGTCATTGATGTCATCCACCTTGTAGGATCCGGACTGGTTGAGATAGGAATAGTAGTCCAGGCTGGTGATTCCCAGACTGCTCTTCTGATCTCCACTCGCCCCCTCGATCAACTACACACAAAAGTGAAAGTTATGAACATTCGATTTGTAGAAAGATGGGAAATCATCTATATAATCTAAAACGGACAGTTCCGGTGGCTAAATCTGAGTCTGACTGATGCAGAGTCACTTTGAAAATAGTTATAAAATACTTGATTGTTTATGGTACGCAGGTGTATTTTATCACAGTGTATGTTCTCACTGTTACATAATAGCAACAAGCTACTTAAAGCCGTTTGTTACAGTGATTTTGCCACGATTAATGATGGATTTCAAAGATTTTGAAAAAATTTCTGCATAATTAAATCATTAAGAATCATTCAAAGTCATTCAGAGTGGTTTGGTGTGAAATGTGCTGTTCTAGAAACTACACAAGACAGAGTTATTCACAGTGGTAGTGATAGGAACCAGACGTCTGAAGCATCTAATTTTTCTAAAAGAGCTACAAATGCTTTGCTTCAAGCTGAAACAAGGTTTCGGCCAAAAATATATACTTTAAATTAATTATTCAAGGTACAGGCAGAGCATTGTAGCAAAATAGTCCCCAAAGATCATATGGCGATATTTGCGCTGTAGGCTTGTGGTTTCTATTACCAGCACTGTAAAATCTTAGCAGGTTTCACCAGAACGGTGCATTTCACATAAACAGAATTACTTTGTTTACGTCTCAGCGACTGAACTGGGCAGAAATTGCCATTTAAGGGCACTAAAGACTTTCAAAACTTATTGCCTTATTTTAATACTAGACTTTTCGATTACATCTGTATTATGTCTGTCTACATTCATCAACATAGAATAAAACACAAACAAACCAAAACAAATGCCCAAATATATTTTATTATAGGGCACATGCCCTGGTCCATTTAGTCTAATTGTAACTCTCGTAATCCAAGAAAAAGCAGTAGAGTAGATATATTGAGGTTCTGCTGTGACGAGGCAAGGCAGCCTGTTTCTTTTCCAAAGAGCTCAAGTGGTAAACAGACCGACTGAACAGCTGAGTGCAGAGCCAAATCCTCCTGTTGTGAATTTTGTCATGTCTGTTCTCCCCTCGTCTCCTCCAGCACCGCAGGCAGGCCTGGACCGAAGGAGGAAGGGTGGAGGGAGAGTCTAAACTGAAGTCCCTGGATCTGGCGCTCACCTGGTAGAAGATGTGGAAGCTTCTCTCTCCTGGGTTCCTCATGACCACGCGAGATTTTTCCAGCAGGAAGTTGGAGATTTTCCCGCCATCTGGTTCACCGCCGGAGCTGAACTGGATCTCAAAGTATTTCCCCTGCAGGAGGAACACATTCACATTTACTGAGCATGTTTACAGCCTAGAACAAATCGACCCAACGTTCTCCAACACAGGCCAACAAACTCAAGCGACAGGTTGGTGTGCTGTTCTTGGGAGATTCTACAAAGTTCTCCTCCATTTACACTGTTTTCACACTGTTCTCGAATGTCCTCCCGCAGTTCTCCCTGTTCATGCTGTTCTAGAACATTTTTACTTATCCACACGGTTCTTACACACCATTCACACTGTTCAAGAATATTCTTCCCCATTCTGAGTGGTCTGAAACGTTCTCCTCCATTTTCGTTTCTCTAGAATGTTCTCCCCATTCTCACTGCTCTAGAATGTTCAGCCTTTTCACACTGCTCTAGAACCTTAACGCTGCTCTCACTGATCTAAAATTTTGTCTTCATTCAGACTGTTATAGGATGTTCTCCTCATCCATGCTGTTATACAATGTCCTCCCACACTCGTACTGCTGTAGAACTGCTGTAGAACACCTATACTCCCACTGTTCTAAAATGTTCACTACCATTTGCACTGTTTCAGAATGTTCACCTACATTCGCACTGTTCTAGAATGTCCTCCCCTATTCACACTGTTCTAGAATGCTCACTACCATTTGCCCTGTTTTAGAACTTTCACCTAGATTCACACTGTTCTAGAATGTCCCTCCCTTATTCATACTGTTCTAGAATGTTCACTACCATATGCACTGTTTTAGAACATTCATCTACATTCACACTGCTCTAGAACGCCCTCCCCTATTCACACTGTTCTAGAATGTTCACTACTATTGTATTGTTTCAGAATGTTTACCTAGATTCACACTGTTCTAGAATGCCCTCCCCTATTCATACTGTTCTAGAATGGTAGAACGCCCACCCGTATTCACACTGTTCTAGAATGTTCACTACCATTTGCACTGTTTTAGAACATTCACCTACACTAACACTGTTCTAGAACACCCTCCCCTATTCACACTGTTCTAGAATGTTCACTACCATTTGCACTGTTTTAGAACATTCACCTACACTAACACTGTTCTAGAACACCCTCCCCATTCATGTGGTTCTAGAACATTCTCCCTCATTCACAATGGTTCATTTGGCTTGTCAGAGTTTACTCTGGCACTGCACTCACATGTAGACTAAGAAATCTGGTTCCCAGCAGTGCTAAGTTTCTTTAACCCTGTTCTTCCTCTAAACACCTCCCCTACAGCCCCCCTCCCCCCACCCCATAGAAAAAACTAAACCAAACCCAGGAGAACCAAAACAAGGCTGACATGGTGGAAGCTCACAGTGATGGATTGAGGCTAAAGGTCTAGAGGACGAGCTGCAGAGGTAGCAGTTGGAGATTTGAAGATTGCCACCTTGGAATTAAAGGCTTCCTGACAGCAGCTAAAATCTTCAAACGAGTATTATGGTTATAGAGGCTGTAATGGACGTTACAGGCTTCGAATCAAACTCCTCTTGCAACTTCCAGTCCAAAACAAACCATTTTCAGCCAACACAGTCTTTTTAGTACTGCCCTCGAATTCACAGACACCAAAAAAAGAGTGACACTGAATTAACAGCTGATTTCCACATGAATAACATCGCTGCTGTCGGGACGTTTTTCAGTTTTTGACATAATTTAAAAATGCCTGTCACCCTTTACATTGTGTGTAAATGTCATGGTGAATGGACCAAAACAAACGGCCCAAAATGACCTGTAAAAAAGTCTGGTTCCATTGACTTACATTAAAAGTAAAGAAGGTTTTTTCCTTCTCCTGTAAAGTTACCATTCTGGAGATACAAGGCTTTGTTCTGACAACAGCGACATGCTACATCAACCAAGTTCATGTCCAAAGCAAGTAAACTAAAAGACAACACTGTGCTGATGTGTTATATTTCATTAATGTGAAAACGATGCACATTTGAGTAAATTCAATGAGTCTTTTTTTCTCACGTCCTTATTTTCTCAATGACTCCCAGGCAAAACCCATGAATCCACCTCTATTGAGTTCGCTTTACAATAGCTGGATGGTATTTCTCTCCTCCTTTCCTTCAGTATACTGTAAATATCCCCTGGCCAAGTGACGCCTACCCATGCTCATATATCTCACTGGCCCCTGGAGACCGATCCTGGATTTACTTTCTCCTTCTTGTCCTCCCTCGTTCCGCCCCTCGGCTTTAACAGGCCCTGCTTCAGCCTTTTAATGCAACCCGAGAGAGAGAGAGAGGCTAATAATACAACTTATGATGAGAAAGGCTCTCTCTCTCTCGCCTCCCTCATACTCTTTTACTTCTTTCCTCTCACTCTTTCACCTTCTCTTTTCTCTCTCCTTCACCTTTTCTCTTTCACCCTTTTCTCTCCCTCTATTCTCTCCTCCACTCACTCTCTTTTCACCTTCTTTTACTGTTTGTCACTCTTTTTTTCTTTTTCACTTTTTCTCCTCTATTCTCTTCTCTTCACCTTTTATTGTCTCTTTTCTCCCTTTCACCCTCTCACTTCTTTCCTTTCACTTTTCTCTCTCTTTCATCTTCTTTTTCATCATCTCCTCTCTTCTCTTTCACCCTTTTCTCTCTCATTTGTACTTTTTCCCTCTTCTCTCCTTCACTCACTTTCTTTTACTCTTCATCAGTTTTTTCACCCTTTTCACTCTTTTCTCTCCTCCATTCCCTCTTTTCTCCCTTTCACTCTCTCTTTCACCCTTTCTCTTTTTTACTTGTTTCTCTCCCTCTCTCTCCTTTACTTTAAATCTTTTTTCTCTTTCCCTTTCTCTTTTCGTCAGTTTTCTCTCTGATTTACTCTTTCACTGTTTTGTTTCTCACTCCTTCATTCTCTCGGTCCCTTCTCTCTCCTTCCTCTTCATTCTCTTCTCACCCTTTCACCCTCTTTCCCTTTTTTGCCTTTCTCACTCTTTCACTATTTCTTTTACTCTTTCTCACTCTCTTTTACTCCTTCACGCTATTCTCTCTTTCTCTCCTTTCACTATTTCTCTCCTTTACTACTTCTTCTGTCATTCACCCTTTTCTCTCTCTCTCTACGTTTCTGACCTTCTCTTTCTTTCTTCGTCTTTCACTTTTCTCAGTCTTTCACACTTTTCTGTTTCTCCTTCACCCCCTCTCTCTTTTGATCCTCTCTCTCTCTCTGTGTGTCTCTCTCTCACTCAGTGTCTCTCTCTCTATTTTCACTGGAAGTTCCCCTTGTTTTCTTTGGTCCCTGTGTAGCTCTGGAAGCTGCTCAGCTTTATGTAGAGGATGAGATCTGGCAGACCGCATGACTTCAGGCGCCCGCTTTTCTCCATAAAGCAAAGCCTTGGGAAGAGGAGGAGAGCTTACGAATCGACTGGAGTTGTTGTTCCTCAGCGTCTTGGCGTTTCCGAAAGCCTCCAGGAGAGGGTTGGACTGCAGGATGATGTCTTTGACATGCTGCGGGGAGAGAGGGAGAGAGAGAGGCAATGATGAGAATAAGGTGTAATTGCATAAGCCTCCTGTGCACTGCTCAGTACAGTCTGCACGCCACACACGCGTTAGTTTTCATACCTTGTCAGGTCATTTACATAGGGTCATTTATATGACCCATATGTAAGATATATATGTAAATGCTTGTATTCACTAATAATGTGTCCCATATGTATTATGTGAGTATTTAGAGTACTGTGCAAACCTCAAAATGGCCATTAAATACAAGTTATTCATTTTTCAGCTCCAGCAAAAAAAGCAGAAATATATTTAACAGAAAATAACACAGAAGCCTCAACAACTGAATATAATATCACAGTTCAGGAGTTCAGGAGATCCCCTTACAGTTTTTCAAAGAAATCTGCAGGGATATTTTTCCACACCCCCAAAGTTCAGTCTTAGAAGATGGTTGATCGTTATCTGAAGTAATGAAACACATTCAGTGATGTTGAGGTCTGGACTCTGGGGTGGTCAGTCCGTTGTTCAGCTTCTTTGTTTGATGTGTTCGTCTCCTTTTCTCAGTGAGGTTCTTCTTGAACAGATACACATCCTTCAGACGCATAGCTCTGAGTCGTCTTCTCACAGTGGAAGGATGGACAGAAACACCTGTGGATGTTTTCAGATCTGAAGCAGCTTGATTTTCTCCTCTCTCTCAAAAATGAAAGCTTTAAGTGCTGTTTATCTGATGGGGGCAGTTTTGGTGTCTACTAGGTCTTCCAGGCGGTTATCAGGAGTCCCATTTTCTCTGTATGTCTTTAAATCGTTTCATAAACTCTTGTTTTTCCCACTTATTTTCCTTTGATTTCTCCTTCCGTACCTAATCTCCTCAAAATGTGGTTGTAAAAATATAGAACTTATATTTAATAACTATTTTGACTGGAAATGAAATAAATGAATTTTTGCACAGTACTGCACATCACATGTATTAAATGCATGTAACTACTTCAGTTACAGATGAGAAATGATTCAGCTCTTTCAGTTCTAAAAATAAAACCCAGGGTTCTTGTTTTTAAAAAAAGTACTTTGTAAAATCAGGACCATTTTGTTGCTGTTATAGGTTACAGCGAACACACACACACACACACACACACACACACACACACACACACACACACACATTCCAAGCAGATCTGTAGCCTGGGTTGCATTATCTCTGCTGAACCATCTGCAGCTCAGGAGCACATGCATTTTGAATCAGCATTTTGAATGCAGATAGAGAAACTATTTACGCATCTTTTATTATGCGCAGACATCGTATGGTAGCCTTTCTGGGAAGGCTGTAAACTCGTTGAACTGTCCTATAAAAAAAGCCTGAGCGGAATTCAGACAGCGGTTTCACAGAAACAACTGTTCCAAAAAAAAAGCCTTTTACTGTAAAAACTGGAGATTATTCAAACTACAGCAGCTTCTCATTTACAGCTGTAGAGAGAAATGCACTTACTTTGCATAATAACTCAATTTCTCTGTGCTAAAGGAGGGGTAATGACTATTTATATTCAAAATGATTACCTTGTGTTTTATAGGGTATACTGCTTTACTTAAATATGGATAGTAATATAGATTAAAGGGCCCATATTCAACCCTTCTCTTATATTTCATTGTTCCTCACTGAGGACCACTTAATACTGTTGTATTAGTGTTGTATTGTGTACCAAAAAGAGTCATCATTCATCTCCACATGACCATTTTCTAACCTCTCTTTGCCCCTTAGAATTAAACGGACTGTGCATTTATAGCTGAGATACATATAAATGAACTCTGTTCTGATTGGCTGTCCTGTTTTGTGCCTCATTCAAAAAGCAGTCCAGGCTGAAACACTCACTTCAACTCCAGTGTGAATGGGCGGGGCTAAACTGATGTAGGCTGAACAGGTGGATATATGTAAATGTGTTCGTGTGACATCATAAAAACAAGGAATTCAAAAAGAGCTGTTTTTGCAGCTTATTTTCCACATATGGACGTTTAGGACTTTATGGACTGGGAAGTATGTAAATAATGTCTACATACTACATCAAACTCTTATTGCAAGGATAATCTGGTTTTCCGTGACATGAGCCCTTTAAGTGTATTCTAACAGAAATAGGTGTCTGATTTTTTATGATGTGTAAGCCATTTATCTTTTTCGTTCTGTGTTATGGCTCAGAGGACAATGCAAATTCCACCTCTTAGGGATGAGGAAATTATAACCATAAACCATTAACCATAAACCAGACAGTGTACAACAACAGAGAGAGAGAGAGAGAGAGAGAGAGAGAGAGAGAGAGAGATTAGGGACACTGAAACTAACAGTGCTGGTGTGGGTGTCGTGTATCCGTGGAGTCAGTGACACAGAGGAAAGGCAGAAAAGGGAGAAAGTCATGTGACAACGACACAATGTGACATAAGAGGGAATGGACAAAAGGCAAGAGTAATACGAGCAGGTGGAGCAGATTAGGTCTGATAACACAACACGCGGCTTTGTTCAAGGACACAACAGCAATTCTGATGACAGTATAACTGACTATACAGCATATTATACCCTAATAATTAGAGATGCATTTAATTTTCTTGGGTCAAATGTTTGGCAACAGTTGTGCTGTTGTAACATATTTAAAATATATGCAAATATATCATCGCTGTCCAAAGAAAACCATGTATGTCCATTTTTTGTTGATTTTTATTTTTCTGCATCATTTCAACACACCAGCTGTCCTTTATGTCGTGAAAATTTCATGATGAATGGACCAAGAGAAATGTTCTAAAATCACTTGGAATAAAATCTCTTTACATTAGCTTAAACTGGAAGGTAAGAGTGTTTTTGCCTTCTCCTGTCAAGTTATTATTTTGAAGATACTTGTTTTTCTTTGGACAGCAATGATATCCATTTTATTTGCTATTCAAAATGCTAGTGAACCTACATGTGTCTTCTAAGTTTGTATATGTAAAGGTGAAAACGGCAAAACAGAGGTATAAAGTATGTTTCCTTTGGGGTCTATTTTGCCGCACCATGCCCTGCTTGGACCTCTCCACCCAGCATGTGCTTTAAAAAATACACTATATGGCCAAAAGTTTGTGGACACTTCCAAAATCAAGAGAGTTTGTCCCCATCTGCTGTAATAACTACCTCTACTCTTCGGGGAAGGCTTCACACCAAATGTTGGAACATTGCTGTGAGTGTTTGATTGCATTTAGCAGTGAGAGCACTAGTGAAATGAGGTGTTGATGTCGGATGATCAGTTCTGGGTCACTCCAACTCATCCCAAAGGTATTAGTTGGTGCTCCAACACTCCAGAGAACGCAGTTCCACTGCTCCACAGCTCAATGCTGGGGCCTTCTTACCCCTCTAGCCTACGCTTGGCATTGGGCATGGTGACCTCAGACTCATGTGCAGCTGCTCCAGAGCAACCTGTTCTATTGTCAAAGCTTTTCTACGCAGACTATACAAGCTGTGTGGGCATCTGAACTCCCTTGTCAGCAGTGAGTACACCTTAATACAACTGTCTTCACAAACAAGAAGGGGTGTCCACAAACTTTTGGACACATAGTGTACATGTTTACATTTTAGGGCAAAATTTAAGCTCAAAACTATAGTAAAACAATATCTCAGGCATCAGGAAACACATTCATAATCATTTCATTCTGAGATATCTTTATGTGAAGGAGCTTTTAGAGGCATTAAACTCTTGAAATGTCTGGTTACTATCACCACTATGAATAATTCTGACTTGGTAGGTTTCTCCAGAACGGATACTTTCACATCAAACTACAGTAAATGACTTTGTTTGCATGTCAATGATTTCATTAAGCAGAACATTTGGAAACTCTCCAGAATTCCCCTTTAAGTTCTCACAATATGGAGCACCAGTCAGAGCTCTAAAAGAGCTTGGGATGGAAAAGAGCATTAAAGTAAGCTTTAGAAAGTCCCAACACAGTCACCGTGTGTGTCCATGGCTGTGGAATCTCATGATCCAGCTTTGATCCCCACAAACTGGGCCTGGGGCAAAAACTGTAGGGGGGGAGTGAGGGGCAGGCTTTGGGGGGCAGCAGTGAGGACAGATGGTTGAGGGATGCCGGGTGGGTTTGGGGCAAGAGGATATGATAAAGAGACGGAAGGATAGAGGGATGGCAGAAGAGGAAGGGGCTGAAGTTTAAAATTAAATGAGGATTTTGAAGTAATGCTCTGAGGGTAAAAAGCTGTGGATCTCAATGCAGATCCACAGCGCAGATTCTACAAATCTGTTTCGCCTTTCAGTAGGACTGCAAGATTATTCTTGCATAATGATTCACAGATAAATGGGAAACATTCTATTATCAGTCCAATACTGGAATTATTGCCACGTTACAGCTATTATAACTAACTGCTTGGTGGCCTTGTGCATGCACATGAACTGATGCATGTATACTCACTAGTTCCTTCAGTTCTTTTCTAAAAATCTTTCCCAAATAATAAATCACTCACTCTGAGCAGTGTATAACTCCACAGTGCCACACACAGAAGACAGAAGGTTTAATTCCTTGTCCAGTTTCATAACAATAAGGGTTCTTGGCTATTGCTACATTCATCTGGCATTATGAGTCGCTGTGGATAAGAGCATCTGCTAAATCTGTAAACGTTTATATATCTGATTTAGCTATGTAAATTAATCAATGTTGTATTTATTTTTGAAGCTTGAACTTGTCTTTCTGCACTTCATATATGGGTTGTGGTTGTTTTAAAACTTGAAAAAACAGAATGAGTTATTGATATCAGTATTGGTGATAAACATCAGGCCGGAAAATCCCTATTGGTGCATCCTTACATTTCAGCTTCTGAACAAAGCTTGAAATCACATGACAGTGTTGTACAGTTGTGAGGGCAAACAGGCCCTTCAGACTCACCTGTACTTTAGGTCCTCCTCCTGACACTCTGGAGATGTAGCTCATAATGTACTTGGCTGCGACTGTTTTTCCTGCACCGCTTTCACCACTGTAAGACAGAGAAACACCTGGTCAGGGTTGCAGTACACACATGGTAGGCACACAGTATGCTGCATCATCACCAAGCCTGGGACAGTCTTGCTATCCATCACCAGTGTTTCAAAAATAAACACTTGATTGTGTTCAGACATGAACTCATGAGCAGTGAAAAGGTGACAAATTCAGAAACCAATCCTCTGTAGCAGTGTCTGATGGCTTCGTTCTTAACATGAAATTTTAGTGCGCTCTGAGAGTAAAATACAGGGGTAATGTGGAATTTAGTTCAATGATTACACAAATATAAGTGCTGTCCAAATGCTGTACCGTTTTCTAGGTATTTTTATTTACTTTATTTATATCTGTTGCTTACCATCCCAAGGTCAAAATGTCAGCATGTACAAAATCTCCTTTAGAGACCCTACATCTGCTATTAAAAAGGCCATCCTAAAAACATACATTTGTGTTCTGCTGGCTCTGCCAGTTGTATAGTGCTTGGACCCCGATGATTGCCACTTCATGTCATGTAGACAGTCATTTAGCTCTCATTGCAGTTGCATCAGTGCACAGAAATAAACATGTTCTACCGCAAAACATAAATTACATGAAAGCTGACTGTCTTGGTTGCAAATGATGATTTACATTGTAAGATGTTTTCTATTGAAGAAAGAAATCTGAAATCTATCTAAAGGTTCATCTTCAGTGCTTCACTGCTCATGAAATGTGTCTCTTTTCACTTCACAGTAATGTTATCTTAGTTTGGACTGGCCTATTAACATATGTCCCCCCAATTTCCTAAATTAAAAACACTTCAAATCTACATTTACATGAGTGGTATGTTCAACATTCAAATCTGGCGACTTTCACAGAAAGGTGACGAATTTGCATATCTGTATGTTGTTTAAAAAACATGGCACAGTGAGTTCGTAGTTGCTCACACTATTTTAGACAAACAAACAAAGGCAGCATACTGTTCCAAGATGAACTGCACTTGTTTGTGGCCGGTGAACTCCGATTAGATCTGACCCAACAAAAACATATTTTGCATTGAGTATTAAAGGAACACTCCAGCATTTGTCAACCTAAACCAGGGATCGGCAACATGCGGCTCTTTTACTGCCCTGTTGTGGCTCCACAGCAGAATTAGATTCGTAGGTAAAAATAAAATAATCCTCCTTTGCAGGAAAATAAAGCTCTGCTGATCGTTCAACACAGTTTAACAATAAATGGTCTTAAACGCTTAATGTAGAACTGCTAATTCACCCTTCAACCCTGAAGACTGACAGACTGCTGGACACACAGCAACAGAAAACAATCTTGCTTAGCTAGTAGCTAATGAAACAAGAAAAGAAAAAGATTCAAGATGAACATCAGTGATTTGGAGATGAATGGATTATTTTCACTTATAATCACTCTGGTTTCCTGATGTGTTCAATCTGCAACGAGAAACTGTCAAATGCTAAAAGGGTCAAAAAGCTGAAGTCAGCTATTCTCCTGCTTCTCGTTCGAATTTTCAAGTAAGAAGCTGGAGAATGAGAAGTGACTTCAGCCTTGTAAAAACTCGAATGCCGAGAGACATTTTACAAGAAACTGTTCTACTTTCGCAAAAAGGTTTCCTGCCGGAGATGCGAGAAAAGCAGCTACAGCAGAGCTAAAGCTTAAAGCAGAGCAAAGTAAGTCTGTGTTTTCGTTTATATTAAATGTGTTAGCCAATACTGACGCATTAAATCATACTGACACACATTTACAACCAAGATGGCAAAATGGACATAAAATGTTGTGGCTCCCAAGGTGGCTTGATTTTTGCTGAAAGGACAAAATGGCTCTGCTTAACATTTGGGTTGCCGACCTCTGGTCTAAACACTTTAACGACTGCCCATTGGCTTCTACTACAAGCGTTCATAGTCAACTTTGCTAAGTACAGTGAAACAGTGAAATTAAGAATTGTTAATTAAAAAAAAAAATTATAATTTGTTCAAGTAAACACGTAGAAATAGGTTGAATGTTTCTACATTATGCTCATAGCAACCTCACAATAAACAGCAGATACACTGAGTACCTTTAGGATGATTTCACTTTTTTCACAGTGATCAAACAGCTAAAATGGTTGTTAACTGGCTGGAGCTCATTCACAACCAAAAGGCCTTTTATTGCAGCCCTAAACACACAAAGGGAGGGTCTGATTTACAGTATCGGACTCGAGTGTTCAACAGCACACAGCTTAAATCTTTACAAGCTCCACAGAAGATCAGGAAGGCTTTAGTGAAACAGCTCTTTTATTCTTATCCCCAATTAATGGAAATGAAGGGGTCTGTTCTGCTAAGGAGCTAAGAGAAGCATTTCTTTAATTGAGTGCATATGGCTCTTGCTGCAGTGAGAATTTACAGAGACTGGCATTTTATGTGTTACTAAAGAAAGAGGAATTACATTACAGAAGCGAGTGCTGATAAATGTTCTTTTAATACTTTAACATAGTACAACATGTACAAGTAGCAGCTGTTAAATGTGTACAAATTGTCAGGTATTCTCAGATATCTGTACGCATCAGACTGTAAGAGACCAATCTCTGACTTCAGCCATGTTATAGCAAATGTGCCTCTGTACTAATCTAAAGCTTCCTGGACTACTATAGCCAGATTTCCATCATGTTTCCTGATCCCTACCAGCTTGTGATACCAACAGAAAATGTTGGATTGGATATCAGACCAAAAACAAGAACAAATTTGATCTGATCCGAGCCTTAAACATAGCAGAATTGCTTACAGCGCAACATAAAGTGAAGTAGGGGCGAGTGATACGGCAAAAATATAATATAGTGATTCTCGCGATTCAAGAACTTTTCATGATACATGATATGTCACAATATTTATTTTTTTAGACATTTGGTCAGTTGGAACAGAAAAAAAGAAGCAGTAGCACTACATTAAAAAAATACTATTAGAAACTGTAAACACAATGATTTTTATTCAATATTTGGAATACTGTTGTGCACTAAATCAAGTTAACCGGGACATATTTTGCTCTTTTTATATGAAACATGTAGTTGGTCAGTGTTCTACCAGCACCAATGATATCCACAATATACTCTGAAAAACACTGTGTTGTGACATAATTTATCATGATAACGATACATAATCACATTACCCAGCTCTAATACATTTTACAATACATTTTTGACACACAGACACAATGACTTAGCAGTGCCAAATCTTAAATCTGCCACAAGAACTACAAGTACAAACTTTATTCAACATATCATCTACTGCACTAAATCCAATTAATTATGTTCTCTTTATAATAAAATGTGCAATTGGTCAGGGCTTGTAGAAAAGCATTTTGTTGATCATGATAACGTCAAATATCATCATACTGCCCACATGTAAACTGCAGTCTAACAGTAGCCACGGGTAGGCTAACATTAACATAAACACGTGTGTTATACTACAATTACAACTCCATTCTTATAGTCTAAAGTCTCACACATCCGCATTGTTGTTTAAAACCAATTAACCACTTTTGCTGTGGTGGTCATTTTGTTGGTGGCTATAATTTCTAACAGAAGTAGAGGGCAGCACAGCAGTAGAGTGTTTGAGCAGTTTGAGTATGGTACTCCAATCTTAAGTGAAGTGCTTCAAGCATTTCATTTTAAAGCTTGTTTCTCTTTATACACATATACTGGGTGATTCTAAAAGATTAATCCGATTTCAAAACACCATATTTTTACAACCGTGAGGCGCCTAGGAACCAATCACATACCAATTGAAAGAGGGGGTCATAGAGTTTCTGACTGTCACCGGAAGATGGCTCCCTTCAGTCTGCGAGGAGATGGTGACCCCCGATCAGAAAACGTTTTGCGTTCTCCACTTCAATAAGAGTGAATCCGTCGTAACTGTGCAGTGTGATTTTCGTGGGCAGTGAAGCTCCAACAGCTCAGAGCGTTCGACGTTGGTTCCACAACACTGGATGATCTCCGAAATCACACTGAAAGAGCCGTGAGTGCAGCGACACCCAACATGCTCAATCGAGTATGGGATGAGTTTGACTATGGTGTTGATGTTGTCTGTACAGCTGGAGGAGGTTCATACTGAGACCTTGTAAAATTACATAATAAACTTTATGCTCATTTAAACCATTTACAGTTACTGCACTGTTCTGTAATGATTTACAAGTGAAATAAATCATTTTGAAATCGGATGAATCTTTTTGGATCACCCTTTATATTTAAATGTCGGATCTTGGGAAAATAACTGCTGAATGCTCCCTTTGGTTTATTACTGCAGAGCTCTCAATTATTACATAAACGTCTGATCACAATTATCATACGTCATAACCATATGTTTACATCACAACAAATGGAATGGGAATTATGCTCATTCTTATTCACATCATCCACACAAAAGGTGTTACAAAAACAACAGAAGTCCTGACTTCTGACTGGTAACATCTTCAGGGAGCAGCAGTAAACACTGTTTATTTGAGCTGGAGCTGTGTCTGTCTTCATTTGGAAGCTAATAATTATAGAAACCAAGCACTTCAGGCATGTTCTTTAAAAGTTGCATTCAAAGAACAAGACAAACTGTTCATCACAACTGTTTAATCGTCAGGTAAAACTTCATGATCGTGACAGGCCGACTCCTCCCGAGACCCTGCAGAACGCTGTAAGGTGATGCTGCGCTGCTTAGTCCATTTCAGTCACACTGGGACTGTTTCCTTTCTTCCTGCTTCTCTCCTCCGTCTGCTTGTCTCCTCGCCTCTGCCCTTTGAGTTTGGCAGGGTCTCGTACATTTAGGCTTGTGTGGCTTGGCAGCAGATGAGAGCAGAGTCAGGTTTGTTTTTATATTTCGTTTGTAATCATGTCAGTAATGCCTTTTTGAGCAGGCACAGCTGCGGCCCGTTAGAGGAAGCCGGAGGAAGCAGTCAGAGAGCCGTGACGTTACACAACAGTAACTCTATACACCTATTCATTTCAGCCAATTTCCTCCGGAGCGGCCTTCTACTGTATCACGCCCGCAC